GATCACTGATGTCTCCATCATCAGTAGGGGGTTAAAAAAAAAAGAATTATTTTTAGCATGTTTAACACAAGCACCAGAAGGTACCAAGGCAGAAAAACTGGGCTTCAGTTTCACTTTGGCTGCTTATGTATTTGCTTTGAACAAATCAGGGACATCTGAACATAGTAATCCTTGTCCTTCAATAAGAGTTGTTGTAAAAGGCTAATCACATTGGAAGGTGTCTAGAAATGAGGAACAAGGCATGTGCAGCGGAGGGCATTGTCTATACTGGACTTCTATGCCTTGTGATTTTTCCCCCCCTGCCCCAGGCCACTTTCCTGTGTACAAGGACCATGTAGCTAATCCACTGGGATCCTAGAGCTGGAAAACGCTCCAAAGGCTAAGCCACCAAGGTCTGTGTATGTCCCTCTAGGATGGGGGTCATCACAGCCCTTAAAAGCAGATCGTAAACCAAGGCTCTGGTATACCAAGCTGCTCTCTACTTCCTTGCTTTTTGCTCTTTTTGTTTCCTCTGCCTGGTGCACCCTTCTTGAAAGAGTTAAAAGGTAGCTTGTGTCGCCACTGCTCAACTGTGAGATGTTGAGGGAGTTTCTTCTCCTCTCTGAGCTTCTGTTGTCTTGTTGATAAGAAGAGGGTGGTAACAGAATCAGCCTTAGAGTTGTGAGCATTAACATGTGTCAAATGGGTCAAAAACGTACAAAGTAAGTGAATGTGAGAAAAGCGTGTAGCAGAGCACGCAGTTGGGAAGCGTGTTGTTACTGCTGCTGTTTCCCTTCTTATTACTCTTGTTATCATTAGACCCTAAGCTCCTCCAGGGCAGAGATCTGGCCTCGTCAGTCTGCTTTCATGTCGCAAGGGCCTGACTCTGTACCTGAGATACAGAACATCTGGTAGCTCCTGGCCAGCCTGCTGCCTCTCAGCTTACCTGTGAGTGGTCGGGAGAGAATGGTTTCTTAGCCCAGCCTCACTGTTTGCTTGTTGTCTGTGAGGCTCTGGCAGCCTTTCATGGTTGTCTTTTGTTGCTGTTGGTTGATGCCATCTGGTCAAGTGTAACTCATAGTGACCCTCTAAGTGACAGATCTGAATCCTGCCCTGTCCTCTGCTACCTTCACCATCTCTGATACACTTGGGCCCATTGCTGCAGTCACCATATCAATCCATCTCATTGGGGATCTTCCTCTCTTTTGCTGACCTTTCCAAGCATGATATCCCTTTCCAAGGAATAGCCTTTCATAGCAACCAACATGTCCAAAGTATAAGAGCTGAAACTTTGCCAGCTTTACCTCCATGGAGTACTTTGGCTGCACCTTTTCCAAGACATACTTACCTGTTCATTCTCTTGGCAGTCCATGGGATATTCAGTACTTCAATACCACAACTCAAAGGCATCAATTCTTCTCCCATTATCCTTATTCATTGTCCAACTCTTAGCTAGTGATTCAAAAGGTCATGACCTGAGTAAAGTGTACCGTTATCTTTAAAACTGACATCATTGTTCTTCCATATTTTGGAGAGGTCCCTGACAGCAGACTTGCCCAAAGCAATACATCTCCTGATCTCCTAACTGCTGGTACCAAGGTTGTTGAATGTGGATCCAAGTAAGGTTAAATAATTGACAGTTTCAATCTTTTCTTCATCGATCAAGATGGAATCTATTGGCCCAGTGGTGAGGACCTTTGTTTTCTTGATGTTGAATTGTAATCCATATTGAAGGCTGTAGTCTTTGATCTTCTGCAGCAAACCTTTCAGATCCTTGTTTCAGCAAGCAAGGTTGTGTCATCTGCATAACAGAGGTTGTTGATGAGTCTTCTTCCAATCTCTATGCTACTTTCTTCATGGAGTCCAGCTTCACAAATATTTACTCAGCATGCAGATTGAATAGATATGAAGAAAGGATACAACCTTGATGAACACTTTTCCTGATTTTAAACCGTGCAGTGTTCCCTTGCTTCATTTGGGCCAATAGCTTCTTGGTCTAGGTATAGACTTCATATGAGCACACTTAAATGTTCTGGGATTCCCATTCTTCTCACGGTTAGCCATAGTTTGTTGTGTTCCACTCAGTCAAATGCCTTTGCATAGTTAAACTCATTCTTCTGTTACTCTCTGCTTTCAGCAGGATCCATCTGACATCAGCAATGATATTTCTTGTGCCATGACCACTTTAAAATCCTGCTTAAATTTCTAGAAGTCCTTGTCAGTGTACAGTTCCAGTCATTTTTAGATGATCTTCAGCAGTATTTTGCTTGTAAGTGGTACTAATAATATTGTTCAATAATTTCCACATTCTATTGGGTCATCTTTCTTTGGAATGGAAACAGATTTCGTCTCTTCCAGTCAGTTGGCCAGACAGTTGCTCTGCAGACTTCCTGGCATAGACTGGTGAGTATGTCCAGGGTAGCATCTGTTAGTTGAAACATGTCAATCAGTGTCCTGTCTCTTCCTGGGGTCTTATTTTTTTGCTTGTGTCTTAAGCACAACTTAAACTTCCTTGGCTACCATTAGTTCTTGTTCATATGGTATTTCCTGACATTTTCCAGTGTTGACCAATTCTTTTTGGTGCAGTGATTTTGCATATTCCTTCCATCTTTTGTTAATGCTTCCTGGGTCATTCAAGATTTTGCCCATGGAGTCTCTCAGTATTGCAACTCAAGGCTTGAATTTGTTTTTCTCTCCTTTCAATTTGATAAATGCAGTGCAAGTTCTTTGATTTTTATTCTCTGATTCCAGCCCTTTGAAATCTTCTGTTCAGCTCTCTTACTTTAGTGTCTCTTTCCTTTGTTTTGGCTTCTCGATGCTCTAATGCAATTTTCGTAATTTCTTCTGACATCCATTTTGGCTGTTTCTTTCTCCTGTCTTTGTAATGACCTTTTGCTCTCTTCATGGATGATAGCCTTGATTTCATCCCATAGCTCCTCTGGCCTTTGATCGTTGGTGATTAATGCTTCAAACCTATTTTTAAGATGATTTTTTAATTCAGGCGATAGACTCAAGGTCAGATTTTGCTTCTTGTGCATTTATTTCAGTCTTCTGCAGTTTCCATTTGAATTTGTACATGAGTGCATTGACTGCCTTTAAAAGGAGGAGGGGTGGGCAGGCAGAAAAATGCAACAATGAATGAATGGAAATCCAAAATCTCTGTAAATGTTCATTAAAAAAATTTTTTTTTTAAAAAAAGGCCTTTAGGCGAGCTCTGGTGGCCTGGTGGCAGGAAACTGCACTGCAATCCCAGAGGCGTGTGGTTCAAATCCACCAGATGCTCTGCTGAAGAGGGAGGGACGGTCTCCTCCTGTACCAGTCAGATCCAATTTGACGGTGCACACACTAATAATAATAAAAATAATTTTTTTTTTAAAAAAAGGGGCCTTTAATTCATTTAAGGGAGCTCCAAGTAGTAAGGAGTTGCAAAGGCAACCTGAAGGCACACAGTTCGAATCCACTGCCTGCTCTATAGCTGAAAGAGGGCCAGTCTCCTCCCATGCAGTTTACAACCTCTGAAAACCCACCGGAGGGTTTGAGTCAGTTCTGATTCAACAGAACACAATTTCAATTCATTTCAGTGCATTGACGTAACCAATCTGCATGTCCCTCCTTAGGTCAGACTGCATAGTGTCATGATTAGTGTGTGAACAGGATAGGAGCTAAGTGTACCACTCGGGCTCTGAAGTCATTTTGGATCTCTGGAGAAAGAGGCTTGCCCTGGTTGGATTCTATACGTTCTGGCTTCCTCTTTCATGCATTCATAAATTTCCTGTTCATCCATGTCCTTGTTGCCACGTAGAAATGATAATCTCTTCTCTGAAGCTTGACAATCCCACTGTTGTCATTTCTGCCTCCCAGTGACCTGATCAGACAGAGTGGCAGTAAATCTTTGTAAGAGCAGATAGTCTCATTTTTCTCCATGGAGTGGCTGGTGAGTTTGAACCACTGACCTTTTGGTTAGTCATTGGGAGCTTAATGACTGTACTAACAAGGGTCTTTCCTAAGCCTAAGCCCAAAAGAAGTAAAAGTCCCAAATTCACTGTTGCTGACTTGATACCAACTCATGGTGACCCTCAGAGGCTGTAATTCTACTTGTTTTTCTCCTGCCTAGGGACTGGATGATTTGAAACACTGACCTTTTGGATAGCAGCTCAATACATTGTCCGCCAAGCCACTAAAGTTCTTAAACCTAGGAAAGTTGTAAATCTTAACAGCTTCAACAAATGAGGAAAGGCCTATATTACCAACACCCAGAAAAGACTGGCAATGGTTATAGTTAGAAGAATGTCCTCATATTTGATTGTTTGTCATGTATTTGATGAGGCCACTGGTGTGCCAGGCCCATGCTCATTGTGGGACACGCATTGGGACAGAGCTCAGAGGGCACTGAGCTGAGCCATAATAAAGAATATCTCTTGTTGTGTACATTGGAGTCAGAACCGACTTATAGCTGACTCTCCAGCAGGTTTTCAGAGGCAATGGATCCAAACTATGTTCCTTTGGGTTGACAGCATAACTCCTTAGCACTAAGCCACCAGAGTTCCCTCAAGAACATCTAGGTACCTTGGTTTTGGGGTTTTTTTAGGAGTCCTGATGCCCAGTCTCCTAGATCTTCAGTTTGAACCCAATAGCTGCTCGACTCGGGACTTAGATTGCTGTCTGATTCCTGAAAGATTTCTAGCTTTGGAAACCCTGTGTTGGGGGGTGGGGATGATTTTCACCTGCCCTGTAGGGTCTCTAGGAGTTGGAATTGACTCCACTGTAGTTGGATTTTTGTTTCTGTCAGAACTTCTCAAAGAGTAAAAATATATGAAGCAAATCACATGGGGGGAGGGGTGGATTTTCCTTTGGAGAAGTATTGCTTCAAGTGGAAAAAATATATCATTTCAATACAATTTGCTAGTTGCATCAACAAGGCTTGAGTGTGGGACCCCGAAAGCAGGTCCTGGCCCCTGGGAACCTGGCACCCTGTTCTCTTCTTCTCATCCGTGTTCCTTTCAGGAGGATCAAGCAGCACAATGCCAGCTCTGCCCCTGGACGAACTCCAGATCACCCACAAGGACCCGAAGACAGGCAAGCTGAGGACTTCACCGGCGCTGGTGAGCCGAGGCCTTACAGCCCCCCTTCAGCCTGATAATATCATTCCTGCAACTTCAGAAGCAAAAAAGTACATTCCTTCCTTATCTGTTCCAAGAATGGCCCCGGGGCTGTGGTTGGTAATGCAGAACCCTTCCAGACTCAGGGTGAAAGTTTTCTTTTGAACAGCAGCTTAAGTTTGAATAATATTTCCCGTGTTGCTGCCCCCACCGCTTTCCCTCAGAACTTTTTCACTTTGGCTCTGAGGCTGATGGCTGCTCTGATTCAGCCTGAGCTGGCCTGGGAAATTGATCTGACCGAAAGCAGGATTGAGATTTGACCCCCTGGGAGGAGATGTTGAGGTTTCCCACCTGACATTTCAGAATCCTGGAGCCGCTCTCCACACTTGGGTGGGAGCACTGATTTCAGAGCTCCAGTCTGTCTTTTATCTCCTGGGCATAAGCTGCCCACATACAGAGACTCCCCAGCAGGGCCAGCAAGGCTGAAAAATAAGGAGGCTGTGAACATGCCGATTGCCTGTGGCAGAGAGATTAGAGCTATGGAGAAGTGCCAGGCTGCTGGAGGAGGTGACAGATGCGGGCCTTGGAGTCCCCACACTCACTTCTTGTTTTCCCAAGAATATGGGCTTACTGGAACAAGGTGGGAGGAAGTATTTTCTGGGGGCTTGTGTAAAGTCGTGGGAAACAGGAGCTGGGTGTTTTATTTCTTGCCTTCTGGATGGCTTCTTGTTACTTCCGAAATACACTCCACTAATAGTACCTCACGTTCACTGAGCAGCTGCTCCAGGCCAGGCTGTAAACACTTCACCTGGATCTTCTCAATTAAGCTGTACCACAGCCCCATAAGTAGGTGTTTTGATTTGACAGGTGAGGAGTCTAAGGAGGGAAGAGATTTTGCTTGAAGTCATGGAACTGGGTAAATGGTGGAGGCAGGAAGGGACCCACAGGTGGCTTGGGGAGGAAGCAGGACTGCAGTTAGAGAGCACAGGCTCTGCGTTGAATCTCGCACCTACTGAGCTGAAAGCAAGTGTCTTAACTTCTCTAATCTCCAGGATCCAAGAAAGGTAATGGGAGGACCAGCATTACAGAATGGTTGTGAGGCTTAAGGGAGAAATCTGTGAGTTGGCAGTGTGCCTGGAGCATAATAATTGAGGATTAGGATAGTGGTGACCACAGACAGTAACAGGGATTGAAAGGTAGGAGGGACAAGCCAGAGGGGACAGCCACCTGTCTGAGGAGGGGTCTTCTTGGTCAATGTAGTGTTGGTCTGCGGACCACAGGGTACACCTAAAGTTGTCCTGCGGTAGGTACTCACTCCACCTGTATTTTGACTTGGGGCAAAAAGATCTCTGGGCAGAGCTAACCTCTTCACTGTCTTTACAGAGTGACAGAGAGAGATGATGCTTTTTAAGTAGCTCCTATGTGCAAGGCACATACTTAATGCTATTGAAGAGCAGAAAGAAAGTCTCAGTCTTTGATCAGAAGGGATTAGTGGACTCTTAAAAAAAATAACCAACAAAACAACCCATTGTCGGCGAGCTCTGGTGGCCTGGTGGCAGGAAACTGCAATCCCAGAGGTGCAGGGTTCGAATCCACCAGATGCTCTGCTGAAGAAGGAGGAACAATTGCCTCCTGTACAGTCAGATCCGATTTGACGGTACATGCATAGAAAAGAATGAATGAATGAATGAATGAATGAATGAATAAATAAATAAATAAAACAAAACAAACAACCCATTGTCATTAAGTCAGAACTGACTCCTAACTGCCCTTCCAGTGGGTTTTCAGAGGCTGTAAAATGCACAGGAGGAGAGTGCCCATCTTTCTCCTGTGGAGCAGCTGGTGGATTTGAACTGCCTGCAGTTGTTGGGTTGGTAGTGCAACCTTAAACGATAAAACTCATAAAAGCTAGATATTTGAAGAGTGGTGCGCAACAGCCTCCTGTCACTATCAGGGGCAGCAGAACAAGTCTGATGTGCAGAGAAGGTTCAGGAAGCTCAGGAAGCAGATTGGACCTTACTCGGGCTTAAGGGCATAGAACTGAAGTAAGAGAGAGGACGCAGCCAGATCCTGCTGTAAACTCCTCCACTCTTCTTCAATGGCCCCACCTTCCCTCCAGAAGAAAGCCAGTTCTCTTGAACTTGGCGGTCTCTGGTCCTCCATTCCCTCCATTCATCCCTTTGAATAGCCAGCAAGTGTGTTTGGAGAATCTGCATGTTAGCAGGCGCTGTTAGGGATTAAGGAGCCTTGGTGGTGTTGCCAGAGTGAGCTGGACTGTTGACCCAGAGGCTGTGTATCTCCAGGGTCTCTGCTCCACCAGAGGCTGTGCAGGGGAAAGGTGGGCAGTCTCCTCCTGTTAAAAGCTATACAGCTGTGGAAACCCAATGGAGGGCCTGTCTATCTATTGGAGCTGCCTGGATGACTCTGAGTTATTTGGGTGGGGTGTTTGTTGTTGTTAGTTTGTGGGGTTTGTGTGTGTGTATGTACCATCAAATCAGATCTGACTGGCACAGGAGGAGGTTGCATCTCCTTCTCCAGCAGAGCATCTGGTGAATTTGAACTATGTACCTTTGGAATTGCAGCACAGCTTCTTGCCACTAGGCCACCAGAGCTTATATATAAAATTTTTTTCAGCTTTGTTGTGGATGTTGTTGATGGATGAGCAAAGCTCAGAATGCCCCTGAATACCTACGGGCTGGTGGTGGGGGGAGATGGGAAGTCATACCTTGTTGGGTTTTTTTTTCCCCTGCCTTGTTTTTACGTAATTTCATTAAGGTATAATTGAAGGACAATGAACTGCACACATTTAAAGTCGATGGCTTGTCCAGTTTTGACCCAAATAATCACACATGTGAAACTATCCCCATAATCAGGACAGTGGACATTTTCACTACCTCCTAATGTGCCATTGTGTCCCCACTGTCTGTGTCTCCAGCAGCATCTGATCTGAAAGAAGGCACTTCTGAGACAGCTCTGCAGTAGAGTATACACAAGAATGGACCCCTTAAAGCTGTCTGGAGTGAGTGTCCGGAAAGCTTTCTGGAGGAAGTGAAATCTAAACTGGGTAGAAAGACAAACAGTAGCACCAGGGTGGCATGTGGGCACTGTTAGTAATGGAAGATTTGGTTTAAATCCTACCTAGTTGCATTCTTATATTCTTGTAGCCTTGGGAAGATTCTTGACACCATTTCCTTTTTCATAAAATGTGGGAAATATTATCTCCCTTTTAAGTAGTTGGAGCTCTGGGGAGCCTAGTCCTTAAGGAGCTGTGCTTCTAACCCAAAAGCTGCGCTTCTCTGGTGATTCAGACCCGCCGGTCACTCAGAGGGAGAAAGATGGGCCATCCCTTCCTCTGTGAAGTAAAGCTTTGGAAATTCCGTGAAGGGTCAGCTATGGGCCAGTTCTAACTCAGCAACAATGAGTGAGTGAGTGAGTGAGTGAGTTTAAATAGGTTTTGTAGATTTATTTTATTTTTTAAAGGAGGCAGTGGAACACATTTCCTTAGCAGCTAGCACAGAGCAGACCCTGGATAAGAAATGGCTTTCCTTATTATTCTGTCATTCTCTCCATCTAAATCTATCTCCCACTCTCCAGTGCAATCTCTGTTATAGATACACTATCCTATTTTTATTCCCCCATAAAAATCCTGTTTCTTTTATCTCCTTACCCTCCAGGGCCCAGCTGAGATGCTATCTGCTCTTGGGGAATTGTCTTTCATCCTTCTGTCCCTCTGTCAGGCTTTGAGCAGTCAGTGAGCACTCTGTTTTGTTTCCCCCTTTGTATTTAGTTGTGTTAGGTATTTCCATCTGCCCTCTGGGGTGTGGGCTGTGTGAGCACCCCACCACCCCAGGCAGAGCAGGCATAAATGTTGATAGGATTATAGGCATGTCAGGGATGTGTGTTTTGTGTCTGTTAGGGGATAGAGCGTGGTGTCAAGTTGGCCTGAAAGGTGAAGTGTCAACAGATTGGGATGGGAGAGAGTTTAAATGTGAGGGAGTGGAGCCTAGGCTTTGAGACAGTGGTTTTCGACCAGTTTCAATGGGCACAATTCCTTTTGTTAAACAGATTTGAACTTGAACACCCCCCCCCCAACACACTCTATATAAACCCTGCCTTCAATAGGAGGGAGTCCTGGGGACTCATCCAATAGTTGGCCGCCAAAGAACCACTGCAGAACTAGAAAACTCCAGTTTGAAAACATGTATCAGGGCAAGAAAGGCGGTGTGGTTCTTGAGATGGTTGACCAATCAGATGTGTCCTTCCTGTGGCCCTTGGATGGACAGACCTGGAAGTGGGCGGCCTGGGGCTGATAACAGCTGAGATGTTGTTCAGCCTTCCTCCTGCTACCACTTCCCCCAGAGAATGTGGCCCTTATACAGTCAGAGGCGAAAACTGAGCCTTTCGACTCCTCTTTATGGTGAACAAAGCAACGTTTGTTCATGGCGAGGTGAGGGTTAGAAGAGAACTTGTGACTCGAAGCTGAAACCTTAGTTAACTTGATAAGAATCCTTGAGAGAATTACCAAAGTTCTTCCTCCTAGTTACACAAAAAAGGGTATAGAGCATAATAATACATAGACATGGTACCATTTGGCTGAGAAAGAAAAACCAGCAGACCATCCAAATGTTTTCGGCGGGTATATTGTAAACCCCTAGAGAAGGTTAATAATGCCTGCTTAATTAACTCCAGGCAGCTGTGCTGTTTGACACTTTTTTTTTGGGGGGGGGGGAAGTTGCTCACGCATATACTTGGAAGTTAACTTAAAAAGTAATTCGTGTGCAGTTTAGACAAATTAGAAAATAAATTCAATCTTGCTTCCCAGAGATAAACATTATAAGGTTTTTTTAGTGCTGACCAATATGTGAATGTGTTAAATAGCTATGCTTTTAAAGGGAGGAAAGAGCTGATTATGTTAAATAGAGAATTTTGTGTCCTGCTTTTTTATCCCCCTTAACTTTTCCCTGCAGCATTAAATATTCTTCAAAATCATGACTTGTATATTCCCGGCCTGCTACCATGCCCCCTTTGTTAGGTACACTCGGGCCTTTAAGCTCAACAGCTCCCTGGAGGGTCACCAGTTGGAACAGCCAGGTGTTGTCATTGCTGTGGGTTGGCAAAAGGGGCGCGGGCTGACTAACCTCTGCCACGTGGTTTTGGATCTATAGCACCCCGAGCAGAAGGCAGACCGGTATTTTGTGTTGTACAAACCACCTCCTAAAGACAACATTCCCGCCCTAGTGGAGGAGTACCTGGAACGCGCCACCTTCGTCGCCAATGACTTGGACTGGCTCTTGGCCTTGCCTCACGACAAATTCTGGTGCCAGGTAACTTTCTTTCCAAATGAACACAGAGCACTTGCCATGCGTGTGATTGCAGTGTTATGCCTTCCTCCCTCAGGATGTGCACATAGAGCTCTTTAACACTTGATCTTTACCAGCAAATTGTGGTTTGGAGGGCTTTGTCTTCTGTCACAGTCTTTATGACATTTGCATGACACCTGCCCACGTGTCATTTGCAGTACCTGATGTTTAGCCCTTGATTCATTTCCATCTCTTTGGTCCCTTGGGGTGGGAGTGTCTGCAGTAGGTCAGGGCTGATAGGCCGTCAGCCCCCCTGCATAGCCCACTCGCAAGGCCTCAGGCCTCAGAGATTAAATAATCCTTGCTCTGCTGTCTCCCGGTCCAGGTTATCTTCGATGAGACCCTCCAGAAGTGCCTGGATTCCTACCTACGCTACGTCCCCCGGAAATTTGATGAATGGGTGGCCCCAGCCCCCGAAGTGGTTGACATGCAGAAACACCTACAGCGGAGTGTTTTTCTCACCTTCCTCCGCATGTCCACTCACAAGGAATCCAAAGTAAGTCCCCTGGTCCTGTGACCAGTCACCACCTGACACCCAACACTCCTGGGCCAGACTCCCCACCCCTGGGAATAAAGGCTCTGCAAGCATCGAGTTTCCTCTTTGTCTCCCCTCGGCCTTTATTCCCACCATTGAAGGAGGAATCTGTGCCACCACCCTTATCCTCTCATTCACCTGGCCGGCTTCATTACACCCAGCGTTTCTTCAATGGGAGCTGAGGGCTCTTGGCCAGTTGGCGCGTGACTCTGCCTTTTCTTGTGCGTCAGCAATTGGAAACATTGAGTCTGAATTTTGAAAGGAACTTGTATGCACTTTGCAAAAATCTACCATTTTTCTTCCTGATTTCTCAAATACAGTGCTGCCTCTGACCAGTTCAGATGGTACAGAAATATATTGTGGCAACAGTAAAGGTCAGCCACAGAATTCCCCTCACAATAAACATTGTTAGGGACCATGTTCCTTTGAGAATTTTTCTTTTTCTTTTAAATGTGTGTATGTATATTTCAAGAAAGATTTTTTTAAAAAATCACAGGCAGTTCTCAGGTTCTGAACAGTTGTCCTCTGCCCTTCAGGGAGTTCTGGTGGCCCAGTGGTAAGGAACTGCACTGCAGTCCCAAAGGCATATGGTTCTAATCCACCAGCAGCTCTGCAGAAGAGAGATAGGCAATCAGTCTCCTCTCATGTGATTAAACTGCCTCTGAAAACCTGCTGGAGGGTCAGCTGTGGGTCAGTTCTGACTTGATGGTGCACAACAACAACTTTGCCCTTTTATCTGTATCGGCCCTCACTTTGAAAAGACTGTACCAATCCCTCCTAGAAACACATTCTTCATCACAGTCATTCACTTGCTCCAAATGAGCTTCAAATCCTTGAAAATGCTACAAGCCCAGTCTTGTGCAGCAGCAACCAAAGCTTAAATTCACTGCTGTCAAATCGATTCTAACTCATACCAACCCTCTGGCGCAGGGTAGAACTGTCTCACAGTGTGTGCAAGGCTGTAAATATTGAAGAAGCAGACTCCCACAGTCTCCCATCAAACAGATCATAGGTTTGAACCACCAACCTTTCATTTAGCAGGCAAACACTTTAACCACTGTCCCACGAGAGCTCCTTCTCTTGTAAAGAGCTAAATGAGAACTGGATGTACTTGTTCTGAATCACCTACAAATTTCACTTACACACACAGGAATGGATCTCCTTCATAACCTGAAAACTCCCTATGTTATTCTTGTTGGGAATATACAAAGTGAAAGGGACACGAATCAGACAGTTAATGTGTGTATAATTCAGGGAGCTCTGGGGGCCTAATGGTCAGAAGCTGCCCTGCATTGCAGCGCCCCAGAGGCGCACAGCTCAAATCTACCAGCTGCTCCTCAGGAAAAGGATGGGAAATCTCCTCCCTTGTGATTCACTAACTCTGTAAAACCTGTCAGAAAGTCAGCTGTGGGTCCATTCCGGCTCAGCAGCTTGTACAGTTCAGTGACGTTGATTTTATTCTTTGAGTTGTACAACCATTCTCAGCCTTCTTTTCTGAATTTTTCCTCTTTTATTAGCATAAATTTACCATCAGAATGAGTTTCCAACCAACAGCTTTACAGTTTGCTGTTGGGAAAAAAATAGCTGCTGCCCTAAGTCTGTACAGGAGGCTGAGCCATGGGGTGGTGTTGGAGGACTGTTTTAGTAACTTATCCCCTTCAAGTCTTTGTGAGGAAGGTGCCTTTTGAAAGTCTCTCATCCCGTGTCTCTGTCTTTGTCCTTAGGATCACTTCATCTCCACCTCTGCATTTGGCGAAATCCTCTACAATAACTTCCTCTTCGACATCCCAAAGATCCTGGACCTCTGTGTGCTCTTTGGAAAAGGCAACTCGCTGCTGCTCCAAAAGATGATAGGTTTGTAGGAAGTCGGCCTAGAGGGTGGTCCAGAGATGGTCCTCATGTGCCAGACTAGTGGTTCCAAAGGTGGGCGATGGGGTGGCGGGGGTTCAGGGCAGCGGGGGAGCAGGAAGGGAAGTGGCAATTGCAGATCACATAACAGAGATCTATGTCATCTTAGAAAGAAATGAGGAGTGGGGGGGTGGGAAATGGAAATGAAACTGTGTAACACAGAGGTCCTGTCCTTGAAGATCTTGGCATCTTAGAGTCAGTGTAACAGTTAAAGGATTGAGACTTTGTTGGAGCTAAACATGGAGGCAGCTCAATGAAGGGTAACTGAATGTTCATAGGGAGCCATCACTGTGCTAAACATTGTGCCTCTTAATTGGAATTGTTGCTTTAAGATAAGTGTCTCTTTATCCACTTAAACCTAAGACAGCAGGTTAAAATGAAAGAGACGTGCCTGAGAGCCCAGTGGCCTAGACAGGATTCACACCACTTGGGCTTCACTCTTGAGCACTTGGTCTGTGCTGCACCCTGGTTCAGGTTTATTTATTACTGACTTCACGAGTGTCACCAGTCTGCATTGTGCTGAGAATACACACACAGGCAAAGTTCAAAGAGGGCTCTTTGCCTGTGACAGAAATGGGCTTCAGAACCCATCAGAAGGCAGTGAGCTAGAAGGTTCTATCAGATATGGAAGCACTGTAAAGGGGTCATAGCCCCAGCAGATACCCCTTTTGACTTCTGCCTCATGATAGTGGCACAGGAGAGGGCAATGTTCCAAACCACAGGAACAGGAGGGAGGTTTGCCGTGTATATGTTAGGGCCATACCGTTTAATCCATATTGACCACTATCAGCCTCTTTTTTTTTATGGTATCCTCCCCCCTTTAATTTTTAAATTTATTAAGTAAAATAAATGCAATCCAAAGCAAAGTAATTGGTATGTAGACCATTTCTCCCTCCTAATGATTCATGTTTATGTGAGCTCTTACAGTCGCTTATTTAACTGGTTCTTAGCCTCAGTTTTTTTCATAGGAGAAATGAGATGATGTTGAGGATTCAGTGCGCGGTAGTATGGATAGATTGCTCAGCTCACCACCTGTGGTGAACTTGATCAGTGCGAGCTCTTGTTCTGAGGCCGTGGGCGACCTTGAGGTGCTGGAAGCAGGGTGAGGAGCCATCTGGAACCAAGGTTAAATCTTGGCAGCATGTGGATGCGGAGGCCTTGAAGGAGCTTCAGTGTGAGTTTGAAGGCAAGAGCCTGGTTGGGCTGCTGGACAGGCTAGAATAAAGCAGGGCTGGGTGAGGTGAGCTGGAGAGAAGTCTGAAGGATTCCAGGGGAAAGTGGCCTCAGCGGTGGAAGTAGGACATGTCAGGAGAAGGGAGAGGAGCGGAGCTGTGTGCAGAGGCAAAGCCCACCGTGAGTGTATTGAGCGTCAAGAGCCTTTGTGGCTGCTGGAGGTGACACCTGGCCACAGCCGCAGGAGCCCCAGGACAGAGCCATGTGTCAGCCTGCTGCCACATTCCTGCTCTGTGTCACTCACCTCTTGGAGAAAGAGAGGAAACTGCTTTCTAGAAAAATAATGAACCTCCTGAGAGATTTCCAGGGGTTTGAAGATGTTTCTCAGTCCTCACATCAAGAATTCGCATAGGCTTATTAAGGAGAAACCCCTCCTTAGCTCTCCAACGAGGTTGCAAAAAAGAGATAAAGACATTAGGCACCTCTTCACTGTGTGGAACGTAGAGCAGGGGACTGCACGCCTACTGGCCCGCTAGCCCAGAGCCACCGCAGCTCCTGGGCAAAGCAGATCCACTGTGAAGAGGTTGGCAGGTAAAGGTTGGCAAGATAAAAGGAACAGGCCTGTTGGTCTTTGGTCAGAGGCCCAGTCCTTATTCTGTCTCCTACTCCCTTTTTTTCTTCTTCTTTCTCTTAACCTCAGAACCGGTACTGTGAATCAGCAAGTGTCATTTTGAAATCAAGGCCTTTTCAGTTCAACTTTTGGAACTGTTTTGCAAACCCGGAGTAAATTGGGGCCTCAGCCCTCCCATGGACTGCCTTGATCTATTTGGCACTGCTTCCTGTTCACCCTGGCTATCTGATTCACTTTAGTCTAAGAGTGTACATTTCAAAGGCTGCCTCACCGTTATTTCTTGAAGAGATCAAAAGTCCGAGAAATCTTCACTGTCATTGGAATCAGATAAAGAGAGCACAGCCCTCAAGGATTGTGAAATACTATCCGCTTTGATGCTTGTAAAACACCCCTGTTACTCAAGTACTGGAGGGACTGGCAGAGCGCCTCCTTGCCCACCAGGCCTGGTGGTCCAGACGAGGAGGAGGCATGGGCCTGCCTGTGAGTGTAACTGCAGAGGAAGCCCAGTGGGCCGCTGTGGATGGGGAATCAGTGCCAGGGTCCCGCCCAGGGGAGACGAGAGGAGTCCTTGCTCCCAGGCCTCAGCCAGGAGGCACGGCTTAGACGAGGGATGGCAGAGGTCGGTGGGTGAAGCAGGGGATGAAGTAATGGAAAAGGTCCAGTGGGGTCTTGAAAAGACAGAGTGATAATGGGCATAGTTGTTTTGTTGTCATCATTGTGTTCCTTCAAGTTGGAACCGACCCAGAAGCAGTTAATTGCATGGCAGGAGATTGCCCATCATTCTCCCACAGAATAGCTGGTGGATTCGAACCGCATGCCTTTGAGATTACAGCACAGTTTCCTACTGCTAGGCCACCAGAACTCCTGTAGGCATAAAGCAATGGTGATTAATTATATAAAATATGTTTGTTGTTGTTATGTGCCATTGAATCACCTGCGACTCATAGCGATCCTGTGTACAACAGCCCTAAACCCTGCTCTATCCTGTGCCAATCTCACTGTCTCTGACACACCTACCCCCATTACCCCAGTCACTGAATCAATCCACCTCATAGAGGGTCTTTCTCTCCTGTGCTATCCCTCCACCCTCCCAAGCATGACGTCCTTCTCCAAAGGCTGGTCACTCCTTACAACATGTCCAAAGTATATCAGACAAAGCGTCAGAATCCTTGCCTCCAAGGAGCAGCCTGGTTTCACCCTCTCTAGGTCAAACCTGTTTGCTCTCTTAGCAGTCCATAGTTATTCAGTGCTCTTCTCCAGCACCACAGCTCAAAGCATCAATTCTCCGTCTATCCTCCCTGGTCATTGTCCAGCTCTATAACGCATAGCAAGTGATTTCACAGATCATGACCCATATCAGGCGCACTTTAGTCTTCAGAGTGAGCTCTTCAGTATTTTGGAGAGGTCCCTAACAGCAGACATTACCATGGCAATACTTGTTTTAATTTCCTGGCTCCTGGTGCCAAGAGTGTTGGCTGTGAAGCCAAGCAAACTAAAACTGTTAACAATCTCAATCTCTTCACCATCCATCCCGATGCTGCCAATTGGCCCAGTGGTGGGAATTTTTGTCGTCTTGATACTGAGCCTCAATCCGTATTGAAGGCTGCAGTCCTTGACCTTCTGTAGCAAGTGATTCACGTCTTTCTCAGTTTCAGCAAGCAGGGTTGTGTCATCTGAATAACACAAATTGTTGATGAATTGTCTTCCAATTCTGATGCCTCACTTCTCCTCATGTGTATTAATGATTGTATAAAACACATAGTATATATACAAAACATGATTATTTTGACATAAGCATGATTTTTGGGAACCAATAAAAATTTTTAAAAAAAATTTAAAATCAACATTAAAAAAAAAAAAGATGACAGCTGCATCTGGTGGAGTCAGCACTAGGCAGTCACCCCAACCCGAAGGAGGAGCCAAAGCTGCTTCTCTGAGCTTGAGAATGGTTCCCAGTAGATTGCAGATGTGGGGGATAGAGAGGGTGGTGAGGAGGATTTTACAGGGAGGGCAGAAGTGGTGGTGGGACAGTCTGCCTGTGAAGAGAGAGAAGTGGGCGTGTCTGCTCGGGACACACCCTCACAGGTTGTAGGTTCAACTCCAGTCTGGAGATGGGAGGTTCTGAGCAAGCCCAAGCAGGTAAAACAGCTCTGTGCAATCACCTGGTGGCCTCCTGGAAAGCCTTAACCCCCTATTGACTTGCTAACTCATCTGACTCCCTCTGGACTTTGATTTGATTTTTCAAATCCTTCAGGTGTAAGTTTAGCATAAGCTAAAGTGCTCTTAGAATTAGCCATTCTTCTCAGAGTCAGCCACAGTTTGTTGTGATCCACACAGTCAAATGCCTTTGCATAGTCATTGAAACACTGATAGACATTCCTCTGGTATTCCCTGCTTTCAGCTAAGAGCCATCTAACATTAGTTACAGTATCCCTAGTGCCATGGCCTCTCCTAAACCTGGCCTGCACTTCTGGCAGTTCTCTGTTGATGTGCTCTTCCAGTCATTTTTGTATAATCTTCAGCAGAGATATTAATGATATTGTTCGATAATTTCCACACTCTGTTGCATCACCTTTCTGGGAACAAATATAGATCTCTTGCAGTCAGTTGGCCAGGTGGTTGTCCTCCAGATTTCTTGGCACAGCTTGGTGAGCACATCTAGGGCAGCATCTTTTTGTTGAAATATATCCATTGGTATGCCAGCAATTCCTGGGGCCTTGTTTTTTGCCAGTTCCTTCAGAGCAGCTTGAATGTCTTCCTTCATCACCACAGGCTCTTGCTTACACATTGTTTCGTGAAATTAGTCTGTGTTTAAGGTGCATCTGATATAGACCATGGTCTTTGCAATCACTTGCTATGCATGAGAGAGCTGGACAGTGACTAGGGATGATAGGAGAATTGATTCCTTTGAGCTGTGGTGTTGGAGAAGAGTATTGAATATGCTATGGACTGCTAGAGGAACAAATCCTGGAGAGGGTGAAGCCAGGCTGTTCCTTGGAGGCAAGGATTCTGAAGCTACATCTGACTTAAGCTGCGTCTGACATACTTTGTACATGTTGCAAGAAGGGATTTTGCAGTCCTTGGAGAGGGACGTCATGCTTGGGAGGGTGGAGGGTTAGTGCAGGAGAGGAAGACCCTCGATGAGATGGATTGATTTAGTGACTGGAGTAATGGACATAGATGTGTTGGAGACAGTGAGATTGGCACCAGGACAGGGCAGGGTTTAGGGCTATTGTGCATAGAGTTGCTTTGAGTCACAGGTGACCCGAAGGCACATGAGAACAATGACAACCAGGTATAAGTGCTCCAGGGTTATCAATAAAGAACCTAAGGACAAGCCTGCCCAAAGTCTGAGGAAACCCACCCTTCACATCATCCTTATTGCTAGCTATGGAGTCGGTAATGACTCTTAGCTGACCCTCTAGTGGGTTTTTAGAGGCTGTTAGTCACCTAGGAGATTGTCCAGCCTTCTCCCAAAAAGCAGCTGGTGGATTTGAACTGCATAATCCTGCCAATACCAGTACTCAAGAGCAACGGTGTCTCTCTGGAGACTAAGTTGTGCCTAATACAGGCTATGGTTTTTGCAATCACTTGTTATGCATCAGAGAGTTGGACAATGACTAGGGAGGATAGAAGGAGAATTAACGCCTTTGAGCTGTGGTGCTAGAGAAGAGTATTGAATGTACCATGGACTGCCAAGAAAACAAACAGATTCATCCTAGAGAGGCTTAAACCAGGCTGCTCCTTGGAGGCAAGGATTCTGAGGCTTCGTCTGACATACCTTGGACATGTTGTAAGGAGAGACCGGTCTTTAGAGAGGGACATCATGCAGCGCAGGAGGGGAAGACCCTCTTTGAAGTGGATTGATTCAGTGACTGGGGTAATCGGGATGGGTGTGTCAGAGGCAATGCGATTGGCACAGGATAGAGCACGCTTTAGGGCTGTTGTACATAGGGTCGCTATGAGTCGAAAATGACTCGACAGCGCATAACAACAACAACAACAATCCTGCCAATGAGCTGACCGTGTATGCCAGTTTTATAGATGATCTGGCGGTTCATTATAGATGATTTGTGCGGTTCGGTTCTCAGCTGGCTCTAATTTGCCCTCTCTCCCTGGGTCACCATTTGGAAGGCCCGAACTTGCTTTGTATTCCAATTACCACGTGCTCCAGCCCAGTATTCTCATCACCAGCTCTCAGAGGATAGTAAACACCCACATCATTTCATAGGAACAACCCCAAGTGCAGGCTGTTCCAAAGCAGAGAGAGGGAGCACAGGAGAATGCCCTGAAAAAATGTTCTCCCTGGAATCACCTTGCATCTTTGACCTGGCAAGACTTCTGGATCATAGCATTCAGGTTCCTTGAGCAAAGAAATCCTATCTTCTAGCTTTCCTGGATGATTAACCCCCACTTCCCAAGCCGGTGCCATCATACAAGGCAAGGTGTCCATGTGTGATCACTGTGGGCACAGCGAGACCAGCCATTTTGACTAGACTTGGTCTTTTACATAATCCTCCAGGCTGAGGTATTGAAAAGGTTAAATTATACTGAGCGAAGTATCCCCTCACCCCGAGGGAAGTTTCTAGTCTGGGCCAGAAAGCCCAGTGCCAGCAGGGACTGAGGCCAGGGCTCCTCCTCCATAGAAAAGGGTGAAAGTTTGTGGAACATTCTGGCAGCCTTTTATAACATGTCCTTTCCACCCCCAACCCTCTTTCCCCAATCCCTACTGTTCTCTTTTTAGGAAACATCTTCACCCAGCAGCCAAATTACTATCATGACCTGGATGAAACCATACCCACCATCCTTCAGGTACCAATACTTGTCAACCTTGTCCTGGGTAACTGAAAGTAGACGGTGCTGTTCGAACATGATGGTGTTTCTTACCTCTCCTGGAAAAGCTGGGAAGAAATGCAATGCCTATTTCCCCTGTCTCCAGAGCTGTTTAGAGCTGCCTCCAGACAGGCCAGTTCTTCCCCCTCCCCACATCCCTGTGGATTTATTTGTTCCTTTTCTTTCTTGAACTGAACTGCCATCTAAAGGTCTGACCAGGCTTAAGGGTGGAAAAAAAGATATTAGGTTTCATTCTCTATTGTTTACCCACCAATCTCTGCCCTTTAGGATACACCCCTAAGAGACCTAGGCTTCTGTAATCAGACCTTGGCATTTCTACAAAATAACTACATAAAAGAATGCTGTTCAGTGTAGGAAATGTGGGGGAAGTCTAGAGAAAGATCAATGTCTCCCTGTAACCCCAACCACCAAGCGGTTTCCCCTGCTCACGGTAGTTTTTTATAAGCACTGCATGCTCAACTCCATAAGGTCAGTGGAATCAGTTCTCATGTGGTTTTACTGGGGGCTCTGTGCTCCCCTTTTGTTGATCTCTTTTATTGTAATACATTTCCCACCAAGAGGCATCTGCTAGGGATGCGGGAATGTTGCTGAATGGGTAGGTTAAGTGTTCATCCCCACGTACCTGCTCATCCTATTCAAGCAGATAAAAATCTGTACGGGTCTCAGGGCCTTATGTGCTCCCAAGATCCCAAGGCAGTTTTGGATGACTTGCCCCACACCTGGCCAAACTGGGGGGACTTGGTCCTAGCTGCTCTGAAAAGTCACCTCATACATCCCACAGGTCTTTAACAATATCCTCCAGCACTGTGGCTTGCAAGGGGATGGGGCCTGCGCCACACCCCAGAAGCTGGAAGAGAGAGACCGGGTGACCCCAAGTGACATGCCTCTCCAGGTGAGATACGCTGCTTACCCTGCCTGCCTGGTAGCCCCCCCTTCAGCCAGAGCTCACCTGCTCTGACACTGGGAAGATTTAAATGAGGGGAAAAGTGTATCTTTTCACCCATCCAGCAGCTTCTCCCTCTCCCTAGTTCAGTGACCAGCTAGTCCCATCACACAGACTATGCATGTTTGTAGCAGGCTTTCATTTCTCTCTGGAAGTTTCCTTTGGGGGTTAATGGGAAGAGCGGAGAAGTAGGATTCAGAGGTTAGGGTTCTAGCCTCAATTAACTTGTTTAGTTTAAGGAGTTCATTCCTACACTGAGGCACTCCTTCAGTGAACTGGTACTGAAATGCCCTCAGCACCGCAGGCCCTGTGCTAGGCCTTGAAGATAAAGCAGTAAGTAAAAGCAGACAGAGTGCCCGTTCTCATGGATCTCAGAGTCTAGTAGCCGTGACAGGTCCTTGAGACGGTCCAGCCAGGTTTGGGTCAGGACCCTGTCATGTGATCCAGTGTTCTCATCCCCGCGGTGCATCAGTCTGCTGTTGGGGGACACCCAGCTGTGTCACACTTGTCCCAGACCCTCTGGGGAGCTGTAGCTGGTGACAGGGGAGAATGATGACGTGTTCTCTTTTGGCACCAGGAGTTGAAGGACGTGGTTCTCTATCTTTGTGACACCTGCACTACGCTCTGGGCCTTTTTGGACATCTTCCCTTTGGCTTGCAGAACCTTCCAGAAACACGATTTCTGTTACAGGTATATCGGTAGCGTGGGCTATGGAGGTAGAGGGCTGGTTCATGCACTCATTTAGGTTGTATTTACTGGGTGCTTAGAGTGTGCCAGGCCATTTGGGAAGGTGGAGTAGAGGAGGTAAGGATTGTCCCATGCATGCAGAGCTTGTGTGTTAGAAACACTGCTTCTGTGGCTCCGAACAGAGCTGGGGAGAACAAGGCAAGAAGAAGGGAGTTTCACTTCAGTTCTACTTTGTGCCCTGTTGTGGGTGCGCATAGGGGAATGAGTGGGAGACAGCATGTTGTGGCCACTTCCCCGTGGACTTAGCTTCTGGACCGGAGAAACACAGATGTGCTTGCAAGTAGGACTGACTGCCGTTACTACATTATGAAACACTTTGGGAACCCAAGCAAACTTCTGTCTCATGAATAAGGCAGAGTTCATGGCAGCAGTTAACCTAGGCCTTGAAGAATGAAAGGGAACCTTCTGGAAAGAGGCAAGTGGAGGATGCAGTGATGGGATTGGCATTCCAAGCAAGAAGGGTGGAAGAGTGTTCAGGGCCTAGCCAGGTCGTGGAGAGTTCAGTGAGCCAGAATGTGAGGGTCCTTGAATCTTTATTCTTCAGGCAGTGGGGAGCTGCTGGAAGCTTGGGTCAGAGGAATCACAGGAAGAGCCCCACCAGGGAGGGGGACCGTGTAGCCCCTGAGCGTGATACTTGTGCAATAACAAAGCGCTGCCTGAGCCTAAGTGTTCCTGGACCAGGGCAAAAGCCTGGCAGCCTGCACATGACTTGGCAATAGTGGGAACTAGCCCATTCCCAGCGCTCTCTGGCCTGTCCCTCTTGCCAGGTTCCTCTTCCGAATGTCCACAGGAGTTTCTGGGAGCTTCCCAACCCATCTCTCCAGCTGTCTGTCCGTTCGGTCACTTGTTTGCCCGCTCAACAAATATTTAGCTAGTGTTGGCACGCGTCTGGATGGCAGCTGGTGCCCTGGCTCTTTCCTGTTCCCTTCAGCTTTTGAAAACCAGATGTTTAGGACTGATCGTCCCTCCCAGAGTGTTAAAATGCCAATCAGCATTTCCGCCAGAAGGGAAGGGGTTGGGAGAGGCTTGTAGCCGCTCGCTTTGTTTAAAAGGTGTGTTTTCTGAAGAGAAAAGTGGCATGTGCTTGTAGGAAATTAGGAAAATAGTTAGGAAATGAAAACTCCTCGTGAGAGCTCCCCCAACAGTGAACCTGTGAGCAAAGCTCGATGGAGCTGCCTTGTGGTTCCCAGTGTTGAAAATTCTCAGCCTGTCACTTTCCATTAGGAACCCTGGTCCATACACACCCGCTGACTTTCTTCCCCTGTCACGTTTCCACCTTATACATGTTCTGCCTGTTGCAGCTTTTACTGTAATTTGCCATCACTCCCTTCGTAGAATTGCGTATCCTGCTTATTTCTTTCCATTTCACACAGGTCTCCCCCGTTTTGTTAACACATCTCCCGAAGTTCTGGAAGCGCCGACCTCCAGCAAGGAGCATGCCAAGGGGTAGGAGGGGGCTGAAGATGAGGAAGAATAGAAAGCACTACTGATGTAAAGAGATGCTGTCTTTGACCCGAGAATAGCCCAGGGTTGACCCAGCCTGTTGGGACTGTGTTCGAGGCCCGCCTGGAACACATCCTGTTAATGACACACCCCCAGTTCCTGAGAAGTCTCTTTACATCACTCAGTCCATGTCAGCAGTCCTCCTCTTCACCCCGCTTTCTGCCTTTTGCTTTTAGGCGTTCATGTAGTTTAGAACTCAGGAAGCCTAAAATGCACAGTGAAAAGTTGCTCTCTTCTCCTTCTCACACACCACCATTGTCATTAGTTTTGCAGAGAATTTTCTGGAAATACGTCACACATGTCCAAACAGATGTGTGCATTGTATATCTCTCTGCCCCTTTTACAATTTAGTTCTGACATATTTTAAGTCTTACACATACTGTTGAGGAGCTGTGGTGGTCTAGTGTTTAAGAAGCTGTGCTGCAATCTTGAAGGCACAAGGTTCGAATCCACCAACTGCCCCATTAGAGACAGATGTGCATTCTCATCCTGTGAAGTTTACTGCCTCTGAACACCCACTGGAGGGTCAGTTGTGAGTCGGTTTGACTTGACAGCACACAAAAACAACAACAAACAACAACATCCTGTTGACATTTTCCTTCATGGTGGTGCCAGATCAGCACATTGAAGAGCCAGGAATTTTTCTGTTGCTGAATGGGGTTCCATTGTGAGGGGTGCTCAGTAGCCCTGTTCATAAAATTGCTTCAGAGATTAACTTTGCACACTCATTTTGCACTTCTGCAAGTAAAGCTGAGGAGAGGATTCCTAGAAGTAGTTCAGGGACAGATGGTATGTGCTTTTAAAATTTTGGTACATCTTGCCAAATTGCCCTCTGTAGGGGTTGTACCAATTTGCCCTCCCATCAGCAAGAGATCCTGGCAGCACCTGAGCCTGTCTGGGCCAAGCTGCTCGCCCTGTCCTTTTCTGGTGCCATCTGTGGGCCTAGCAGGGCCTGCCCCTTTTGGCCTCATTTCCTTCTGCTTATGTCAGGCCTAGGGTAGAGATTGCCAGAAGCCGATCAATCAGGAGACAAAGCATTGACAGTGCCAGCTCCAGATTCAGCCCTGTCCTGGGCACACAGGCTGCCTTGGGACGCTTCAGAGGTTTTGAGGAAGAATTCTACCACAGAGAAGAGGCTTCTGCCTGTAATTGTATTGGAAAAGGAAATTGTTGTGGTAAAGTACACATAGGAAGGGAGCTCTGGTGGCCTAGTGGCAAGGAGCTGCGCTGCAATCCCAAAAGCAAGTGGTTCAAATCCACCAGATGCTTCACTGGAGAAGGAGGGTCTCTTCCTGTTCCAGCTGGATCCGACTTGATGGTAAACAAGAAATAAAACACACAAAGCATAAAATTTGCCATTTTCACTATTTTTATGTGTATGCGTAATGATATTTACCATATTGTGCAACTGTTACCACCATCTGTGTCCAAAACCTATCCATCACCCTATCCATGCTCTATCTCCTTATATGGTTACCCCCTTTTTCTGCTACCCCTGCCCCAGATTTTTAAATGTTCCTATTCTAGACATTTCACAAAAGTGGATTCATATAATTCTTTTCCACATTTTTGTTGTGATTTGAGTGCATGTTTACAAAGCAAATTGGTTTTTCATGCAACCATTCATACACATTTTGTTCTGTAATATTAATTATAAAACCCACAATCTGATCACATCCCCACTTCTTCTGTATGATTCTCATCTCCATTAACCCCTCTGTCTTCTCTTTCTTTAGTGTACTATGCTGATCATCCCGGTAGTATATTGCCTTTCCCCCCTCACATTTTAGTATGTATCTGTGACTCAACGTCACATAACAGCAACGTTATGGATTGACTCATTTCTACTCTTTCTCCCTCCCTATCCGTGATAGCCACGCAAGAGCAATTCTCGCTGTGTGCTGACCTCCCTTTGTTGTTGTCGGATGCCATCAAGTCGACTACAACTCACAGTGACCTTCCGAACAGCAGATCTGACCCTTGCCCTGCCCGTTCTCTGACATGCCCGAGCCCACTCTCCCAGCCATTAGGACAGTCCATCTTGTTGAGACTCTTACTCTCGTTCTCCGACCTTCCACTTTTCCCAGCATGATGTCTTTTTCCAAGGATTGGCCCCTCCTGACGACATGCCAAAGTATGTGAGATGAAGGTTCACCTTCCTGGCCTCGAAGCAGCACTTGGCGGTGAACTTGGAAGAACTGGTTGCAGTTCTGCCGAGACTGGCTTGTCTGTTCTGTTGGCAGTCGCTGGCATATTCATTATGCAACTCCAATACCTTCCCTTAGCTTTTTGAATGACGTTCTTCTACACAGTATCTATCCTTTTGTGGCTGATTTCATTCAGCATAATGTCTCCCAGACTTATCCATGTTATGTGGCGTTCTGTGAATTCTTTTCTTGTTCACTAGTGTAACATAGTACCCTATTGTGCACATGTACCACAGTTTATCTGTTCATTGTCTCAGATACTATTTGTGTCTGGCTTATTTCACTTGGTATAGTATTTCCAAGGCTCATCCATATTGCAGTATCTGTCAGGACTTTGTTAGACTTTACAGCTGAATATTCCTTTGTCATTTTTGTACCTCACTTTCTCTCTTCATTTGTCTGTTGACGGACTTCTAGGTTGCTTCTGCCTTTCGGCTGTTGTGAGTAATGCTTGAGTGAACATTGATGTTCAAGTGTCTGCTTGTATCCCTGCTTTGAATTCTTTTGGGTATACACCCAGCAGTGGAATTGCTGGGTCTTAATGCTGATGAGTCACACAGTGACTGTAACAGTGGCCTCAAGCGTGGTGGCAATTGTGAGGATGGCACAGGTAGGGCAAGGATCTGCTCTGCTGTTCAGCGGGGTTTTGTGAGTCTTAGTCAACTCAACAGCCCCTAACAGCCACGTGGTATTTCTGTGTTTAGCATCTTGGGGAACCAACAAACTGTTTTCCCGAAGCAGGACAACTGCATATGAAATTGTAAGGACAATAGATTTGAAGGGCTGGCACCGAGTTCTGGGAAGGAGTAAGCCCTGGGGGTCAGTGTGATCAGAAGGAACCCAGGGAGGAGGAGCCTAGTCGATAGACGGCCAGAGGAGTGTGTTGGATGTTAGCCTGTAAGAAGCTTGAGAGGCCTCTGGGGTTGCCAGTCGTGGGGAAGACGGTGAGGGTCCTTGTGGCCAGGATGTGAGTGTGGGAAGAAATGGGATAAAGTCACTGAGGTGAGAAACAAGGTTGGCTCTCATGAGCCAGATGTGGTTCTGAGGGAGCTCTGGCAGCCCAGTGGCAAGAAGCTGCGCTGCAATCCTAAAGGTGCCCAGTTCGAATCCACCAGATGCCCCACTGGAGAAGGAGGGGCAATATCCTCTTGTGCCAGTCAGATCTGATTTGATTGTACACAAGAAGAAAAACGAAAAACAACCAAAAAATCAGATCTGGTTGTGCCTATAGAGGAATCTGGTCTGCTTACTAAAGGTAGGGAGCTGCTGGGAGTTTAAGATCTGGAGGAAGAGTGAAATTGTGTCTGTTTCTGAAGCTGCAGAGAGTCGTGGGGGTCTCGTGGTTGATCTGTTAGGATGAGCCTGGCTGGACCGTGCCGTTGGGTTCCCGTCTGGGTGGAACAGGCAGCCTCAGGTTACCTCCCACGAGGGAGCCACAGCTTCCTGCTCTAGGGTGGGCTCGAGGAGAACCAGGGGCTCCCAGGAGAAAATTAGGTGAGCAAGAAATGGGTCTTCCTGCTTGCTTGTGTTGTCTTGATTTTCCCAAGTCCAGCATTTTATCTGCCTGTGCCTCCACAGACTGGTGTCCTTTTATGAAGCAGCCATCCCTGAACTAGACTCTGCAATTAAGAAGAGGAGGCTTGAAGATAGTAGGTAAGGTGGGGTCAGACTAGGAATGTTTTGAGAAAGGGAGGCCTAGTGTCAGGAGATCTGGGCTTGAGCCTGGGCCCTGCCCGTTCAGGCAGCGTTACCATCCCTGAAACAGCCGGTCAGATATAGGGCTGTGCAGCTGCAAGACTTCCATCCTCCCTGGCAGTGTCCTGGCCCTGGTACCAGAACCTGCTCCCTCAGCTGGGACTCCAAGCTTTCACGAAAAGGTCCACTGGTTCCCAACCCTCTGTTAGGCCTAAGAAGTGGCTGTGGAACTCAGAACCTATCGCCGTCTTGACAGCTGCTTTCCTAAGGGAACCATGACGCCTCCTCATTCCCATAGAGGGACACGTACAAGTGCTGGATATAAATTTTCCGGCTGCCTTTTTGCTTCTCAGATCCCCGCTTCTCGTTTCTCTCTGCCCCTCGAAGGCTGATCGCTGACCTGTGGCAGAGGCTCTCCCATTCTAAGAAGAAGCTCACGGAGATTTTTCACATCCTCCTGAACCAGGTCTGCCTCCTCCCCATCCTGGAGAGCAGGTGAGCCCTAGCGAGCTGCCTCCCTGGTGGGAGCACCCTTTTTGGGATCCCACTGAGAGCGTTTCCCCCCGGTGAGTGGAGACGGAGACTGAGGCAGGCGCTTTCACCAGGCAGGGACGGGTGTGAGAGGGCAGTGCACATTGGCACTGAGGGACCTCACCTGCCCTGCTGTCCCCTCCCAGTTGTGACAATGTCCAGAGCTACATTGAGGACTTCCTTCAGATCTTCAGCTCCTTGCTGCAGGAGAAGAGGTGAGTGTGGCCACGCCAGGACCTCACAGTGAGACAGCCGTTGACCCTCCCCACCTGCGCCCTTGGAGCCTTACATCCTCAAGCCTCGGCTCTATGCCCATCACGGGTGCCTGCTGACATCTGGGATTTGTGGTCAGGCGGCAGACATGGGAGTCACTGGAAGGTACACAGTGTCCCTGTGGCCCTGGCCCTCCCATCTACGCTCTCCCTTCCCGGCAGGTTCCTCCGGGACTATGATGCGCTTTTTCCCGTGGCTGAAGATGTCAGCTTGCTGCAGCAGGCCTCAGCGGACTTGTATCCTTCAGCTGCTGCTGCTGGGAAGGGGTCCCAACCCGGGCGAGTCAGAGATGGGTGACTGGGTCACAGAGGAGCAGAGGGAGAGGCATGCCGACGGCCCAGCCTCAGCCTGAACCCTGGTTTTTCTCAGATATGTGACCCTGATTCCCAGTACGAGGGAGGTATAGCAGCTTTAGGATCTTATTAAACATCATGACTGTGCTCGTTTTTCCAAGGTGGACTCAGCCTCTGCGCTCATGGGCCTCACTGCCAGGGCGGGCAACACACAAGGCTGTTACAGAGAACGCCATGATAGAATTCAAGACAGAAAAGAGTCAGTGATACATGTATCCCAGTGGAGTTTGAGGTGGACCATTAGGTGTAAGTGATGGTTACGTTAAATACGACCCAAGGACTAAAAGCTAAGGCCAAGGCCAAGGCCACACATGTGCTTAGTGTGGAGACTCAGAGGACAGAGCACAGGCTCATTGGAGGAGCCCACAGATGCGTAGGGCACGGCTAGGCCATGGGGAAGGTGAGGTGCAGAGAGGTGAGCTTGCACAGCACTGTGGTGACCCCCCTGAGAGGTTTGGGCTGTATCCTGCAGTCCCTTGGGCCCCCTGGAAGGGTCTGAAGTAGTGACGAGGTCTCTAGCCACAGAGAAGAGTATGGACTGGCCTGATGCCACCGTTGGAGACCCAGGGTCTGGGCAGAAAGCTGCTGCTGGCATCCAGGCCAGGAGGATGAGGGGTTGTGCCGGAAATGGAGTAGGAGAGTTTAGGATGACTCCCTGGTTTCTGGCTTGGCACCACCCACAGTGAGGGAGGGAGGAGGGACAGGAGGAGCAGGCCTGTGAGGGGCCATGATGGTGGTCGGGGTGGGTGGCAGGGCCTGCCTCAGGGAAGCCCTGCAGGTTGACCTGGAAGCATGGAGGTGGAGGCCCTCGTGGACCCTCCTCCCAGTGGTCAGCATAGAGGGAGGAGTGACTGGCTGGTCGGAACAGGTGCTCTGACACAGGATGCTCGGGTCCTGGGCCTGAGCCAGAGCTGCTTTCTGTTACGTATCAGTGTGACCATGATCTGACCTCTTTGTTCACGCAGCCCAGGTGTCTCTCACACCCACTGGGTACAGCCCAGAACACAGTGGCTGAAGCCCTATGGTCAGACGCTGGACAGGGGCTGAGAAATCCCACTGCCTCCGAGATGCTGGAGAGGCACAGAACGCTGAGGGACCGGAGAGAGAAACATCCTTAACATCTTAATAGTGATGAGACGCGCACCGCCTACATCCTCCAGGCTGTGGAGAGCGCGTGGGAAGGGGTGGACAGACAGAAGGCCGTGGAGGCTAAAGACCCGTCGGTGGCTGAGGAGCCTAATGGGGTGTCAGAGCCAGTCTGTCAGGCACCATCACACCTGGAGAGCTTGGAGGAAGAGGAGGTGTGTGTCTGGAGCAGGGCTGTCCCCCAGTGTCCCTGCCCTCTCTGCCCCATCTCAGAGGTTGTGTCAGCCGGGAGCCCTCCCTCCTTTGTTTCCACACTCCAGGAAAAAGGATTGCTTTGGGAATTGACAGGCCTCTGTTCCCCTGGGAGGACCCTGGGTAAGACTGGCTCTGACAAAAGCCAGAAAAGATCATTTAAGCCCTCAGAGCCTCAGTTTCCTCTATTAAAGAGGCTGAAACTTTCGTGTGAAATCATTCCTGTGCCTCCTCTACGCAGATGGGTGAGTCCTTGGTCACCTACCACTTATCTCCAAGGAGCTGCAGGAATCAGCAAGCCTGGGCAGCTCTGCTGTAGTACTTTCAGATTTTTCCAGAATTGGCCGAGTTGTGACTGTACCGATTAGCCCCTGGGCCTAGGACTCTTTCTGTGTGTTTGGGAGGCTGCATGTCACGGGTTAAACCTCATCCCCCTTGGGCTCAGGCCGCTGGCCTCTGTCACTCTCCAAGCTCTCTAACCTTGGGCACACACATCACTTGCTGTGAGCCTTGCTGGTTTTTTTTTTATCTGGAAGGTGGGAGCTGTGTGCCCCCCACCCCCACAGGGCTGTTGGGGTTTCTAGATCTGCGTCATAGTGAGTGAGTACTGGCAGTTCTCGGTTCTCCGGGCACAGACCCTGTGGTCTTCCTGTTAGACTGAGGGACCTTAAAGAATGACAGCTTCCACTGCCTTTTCCCTGCCCTCTCACCTTGATCTGACTTCTTATCTGAGTCATGGAGCATTTTTAGGGTTTGATTTGTATGATTTGTATTTCCTTAACAAAGAGCCAAACCAAACCATGTTGATGTCAGGTCAGTTCCAATTCACAGAGACCCTTCAGGACAGTAAACCTCCCTGTAGGTTTTCTAAGTGTATAATCATTATTAGGGCAGATTGCCATGTCTTTCTTCCACAGCACTGGTGGTGGGTTTGAACTGTTGACCTTACACTGAGCAGTCAGGCACTTTAATCACAGTGTTACAGGCTCTTTATCTGAACTGGAAGGCCTAAGACAATGAGCCACATTGAGCAGCTTGTGAAGGGGCTCACTCTTACTAAAAAGAATTCCTCCTCTAAAGGAGGAATCCAAGAGGGAGACGGGAAGTGACGTTTAAAGTCACACAAAGCTGGAAGTATCACAGAGGTAAAGCTTGAAGGTCACTTTTTTCAAAGGAGAGGAAATGGAGGCTCAGAGAGATGAGTGGAGGACACAGGCCTAGGACTTGAACTAGAGTCCCTGACTCTCAGTCAAGTGCGAGGCTGTTCCCTTGCATGACTCGGCCAAGCAAGCCATCCCCTTTCCCTCCTTCACTCTGCTCCTTCCCACAGTGCATGGGGGCCGCTGCTGCCCTGAGCCCCGCTGTGTCCGGTGTGGAGCTGGACTCGCTCATCTCCCAGGTGAAGGACCTGCTGCCGGACCTCGGCGAGGGCTTCATCCTGGCCTGCCTGGAGCACTACAGCTATGACCCGGAGCAGGTGATCAACAACATCCTGGAGGAGCGGCTGGCCCCGGCCCTCAGCCAGCTGGACCGCAGCCTAGACAGGTGAGACACAGAGGTGGGAGGAGGTGAGGCAGGCCCTCATCCGGGGACCCTCTCAACTTCCCACTCAGTGCTGTTAATGTCCAAGGCCTCAGCCTGCTTTCCCATTTCTTCAGGGTTATTTCCCAATCAATGCCTTTTTTGGGAAACAGATCTTGGGCCTTAGGAGGTTCTCACATGCCCCTTTGGGACAGAGAGGGTGCACAATGGGCATCCCTTCTACGCTAACAGGGAAGACCCAGTCGAGCCACATCATGTGACAAAGGGGTTGCCTAGCGCCTTCCAAATTCCAAAGTTCTTGGGCAGCCCCTTCCCAGCAGATTCTTAAGGGAGGATGAGACAGGAGGGATGAAGGAATGAATAATGCTTCTTCCATGAACAAAGGATGCTCATTAAATGAATCAGTGACACAAGCTGTGTCTCTCGGGACAAGCTTGTCAGCCACATTGTGTCACCTTTTACAGATGAGGACACTAGGAAGGGAAGAGGTGGTGTGACCTCTGGGTACCTGTCTCATAAAGCTGTCCTGAGCATTAAATCTGAGAGGGAACTTTGAAGACGGTCTGTGACTGACACACTGGGAATAAAGGGGGCTTTATTGGAGGTGGCTGTGTACCCAGGCAGCAGCTGAACAGAGCCAGCCTGCCTCTCGACCTGATAGCTGTTTAAATTCTGAATGTGGCTGTTGAAAAGGAGCGAAGAGTCTAATGGATGTCGAGTGGCCTGGCAAAGTGGGCCCAGGTGGGCATCAGCTGGTCCCCTTAAATGGATTTCTGTGCCCCCTCCAGACAGGAGAAGCCAGATCCAACACCTCTGTTAACATCTCGTCACAACGTCTTCCAGAACGACGAGTTTGATGTGTTCAGCAGGGACTCTGTGGATCTGAGCCGAGTGCATAAGGGCAGGAGGTAAGTGCACTGGGACCCCAGGGACCCCTAGTTCTGGGAGTACAGCCAGAAAGTGGGAGAGACAAAAGGGCCATCTCATTCTGGGACTGTCCGTGGAGGTTGACCTCTGGGGCCCCTTCACGCCCTTGAACTTGCGTGACTTCCAGAAGGCACAGCAGGGTCTGTAACGGCTGTGCTTTGGGCCTGGGCTCAGTGAGGAGGTTTTCAGTGATTGCTGATTGTTGTTAGCAAGAGGCCAGAGGAGCCAAAATCCTCTCCTCCGTCCAAAATCTTTCCACATCTTGACCAAATTGCTGGATGGTAGCACTGGGCCACGCTTCCGAAAAACTGCTTCAGGGTCTGGTTTCTGCCCCCTCAGCCTGTGACGTGAAGAGAAAAGTAAGACCCCAGTCTGAGCAAGCCTTTCAGAAGAGAGCTATCCCATTTGAGGGCTGTCCTGTTTCTTTCTGATGTATACCCTTCGTACTTTTTTGGCTTTGAAAGGTTCATTCATGATTTATTCATTCGTTTGATAAATATTTGCCAGGTACTTTCAACATTCGACCTGGATCAGGTGCTGGGGGTTCAGTGGGGAGCTGGATGAACACGGCCCCTGCCCGTGAGGACTTTGTGCTAATCAGCTCATCAAACAAGCTAGGGCAAAGTGCAAATAGAACAAGTGCTGTGAGGTGGAGGCGCACGGGGTAACAGCCTCTGGCAGGGCTGCCAGCCAGGCAGGATGTTCTTCCCAGCACAGGGTACTTGACTGCAGCTGCGGGGTGAGGAGGTATCCGTTTGCCACACAGGGAAGGGGTTGCTTTCCAAGCAGAGGCTTAGGGAGTGTGATGAGGGTTCCAGGAGCTGACACCGCTTCTATTTTCAGATGACCACCTCGCTCTGGAATAGAGTTAGTGGTGGTAGTAGAAAGCACACGATTTAGTAGAGGTTGGCACAGTGAGAAGTTGGTGACTCAAACCCATCTTCCTCCAGTTTCACCTGAAATGTTTTTGCCCCTGGAATCTAGAAATCTAACAACCTTTGAACAAGTGTGCCCTGCCCTTCCTTATCACATAGAAGGGGACAGTGAGGTTCCAACAGGGGAGGGCACCTTCCTTGTTGTTGTGCTAGGCATCCGGTGGCAGAGGCCCGGGCTGCCACTTCAAGTGGAGGCCCCCACTCTCCCCGCTGTCCCCAGGGTCACCCAGCGAGGGAAGTGTGACTGGCGGAGGGTTTGGAGCACAGGCCCAAGGCAGCTGCACAGCCATATGGCTGCTGGAGAGGAAGACGCTGCAAACTGCTTAGTCACATACATTGCACCATCTCGGCTGCCAGCCCAGAGATGTTATCCTGCATCAGTGACTGCTGCTCCACACAGCTTGAGGCTCCTGCTGTGGGGAGCAGGAAGACATAGGGTCCCCCGGCTGGTAGAAGACTGGCCCCAACTCAAGCCCAGGAAACCTGGTCACATGCGACAGGGCATGTGAGAAACCCCTAAGGCCGAGCTCCGGCATCATTGGCAGTAAACCTGCCCCTTGACCTCAGTCTGTGGTTTTCTAGCACTCAGGCTGTCATGAGGTTGTGCTTCGTCCTGTCAGTCTCAGGCCACTGACGATCAACTGCCAGGGGCCAGTCCCAGCTGCCATGGTCATCGGAGGGGCTGACACAGAGGCCACCAGCCCTAGAGAGGGCCATGACCTTGCTCTTGGATTGCTTCCAGGTGGAGAGTTCAGGCAACAATATTTACTTGACTGATTTCTCGGTGACCCAGGAGGAGGGATTGTGAAGAGGCAAAGCCTTCATTCATGTGCTTGGTATTTATTTATTCATTCAGCAAATATTTGTCCAGCCGTTTACTACCGCTGCTCCGGTGCTAGACACCAGGGAAGCAAGAGTGGGCATGGCACCGAGGCCTCACCCCCACAGGGCAGGCGAGCGTGGGAAAGACTTAGAACATTAAACAAGCATGACAGAATCATTAAACAAGGACAGGGGGTGGGAATGTCTGGTGGAGAGGACACCTGGTGGGGCTCCTGCCCTAATCTGAGGAGTTTCAGGGAACATCTGAGAAATAAAATGGCAAAAGTCCACCCTTCTTGGGTTGAAATGTATGCATGCCAAATGAGGTATGATGTTTTATGCGAATGCAATGCCTTGTTGTTATATGCTGACAAGTTGACTCTGACTCTTCGCGACCCTCTGAACAAGTCAGAACCTTGCCCTGTCCTGCGCAATCCTCATGATCTCTCAAATGCGTGGTTATAGTCACTGTGTCCACTCATCAGCTCAGTGCCTTAAGGAATAAGGAAATCTGTTTTCATGTGACAGGGCATTGCAAGGTAGTTGAGGGAATACAGAAACATTGTTGTTAATGTTACACCTTTCCATCACTTGATGCCTCAGGCCACAGAGTGGCTGCAGCTGTTCTTGACATCACCTCCAGAGCAACTGCTTTGGGAGGCAAGTCTGGAACAGATCTTTCTTTCTGTATGGCTCTTAAAAACCAAGAAACTTTTTTCAGAAATTCCCAGATACCCTTAACATCCGCTTTTGAGATAACTGGGTCACAAGACTGAGGCCCAGGACTCTGATGGAAAAGAGATGAGAGAGTCTATCAAAAGGTAACATGGATTGGAAAGTGGCTGTGGGGTAGATGAGCATGCTGGTTGCAGGAGCTCTTGGCCAAATGGAGTAGTCATTGTGCATACAGTGCAGGTCCCCTGATTCCTTTGAAGACGTGTACCCCAGAAGATGGAAACAAGTTTCCTTTAGTCAGACTACATTCATATATTAAAGGCTCTGACAAGTCCTGTGATCGAAAAAAACAGATTGAGTTTACTGAGTCTAATAGATACCATTGCAATTAAAAGATGTATTGCATGTGAGCAAGCATTTCTGCTTATGATGTGGCCCAGTGACACTGTGGGTGATGTGCGCTCCCTGCTAGCCAAGGCCAGGGCTGTGGACCCCTCTACCTTCGAGATCTTCAGCACGTTTCCACCTACGGTCTGCAGTGACGACACCCTCACACTGCAGGCTGCAGGCTTGGTGCCCAATGCAACATTGCTGCTGCAGGCACCTCGGGCCCCACCCCATTCCAAGGCCTACCCCAACGTCATTTCTGACCCCACACCTAGCCTGGAATAAAGCCTCTGCCACCAAAAAAAAAAGGTGTATTGCGATGGAATAGTTTGCTGTTAAGAACCTCTCCAAAGTACTGAAGAGCAATGGTGTCACTCTAGAGACTAAGGTGCACCTGATACAGGCCATGGTCTTTTCAGTCACTTGCTATGTGTTAGAGAGTTGGACAATAACTAGGGATGATGGAAGGAGAATTTATGCCTTTGAGCTGTGGTGCTGAAGAAGAGTATTGAATGTACCATGGACTGCTAAGAAAATGAACAGGCTTATCCTGGAGAGGGTTAAATTGGGCTGTTTCTTGGAGACAAGGATTCTGAGGCTTCATCTGACATACTTTGTACATGTTCAAGAAGGGACCAGTCCTTGGAGAGGTACGTCATGCTTGGGAGGGTGAAGGGACAGTGCAAGAGGGAAAGGCCCTCTAGGAGGTGGATTGATTCAGTGACTGGAATAATTGGTGTGGGTGTGTCAGAGACAGTGAGATTGGCATAGGACAGAGCAGAGTTTAGGGCTGTTGTACATAGTGTCGCTATGAGAGGCAAGCGACTCAATGGCACATAACAACAACAATAGATACCAGGTCTGCTTTTGTGCACCATTGTACTTCAACCTCATATCAACCGTAGGACGCAGGTGCTGAGAGGGGATAAGAGATGTCCAGGGTCACGTGGCTCGGGGAAGTGGCAGCGTAAAGCCTTGGGTCAAGAGATCTGTGCTCTGTCCCTGGCTCTGCTGTTAACAACTGTGTGACCCTGGGAAGGTGGCTCTGTCTCCCTGGACTCCCTGAGCCCTTACCTGCAAAATGAAGGATTGAGAGTCTAAGTTCAAAGTCCAGAGTCACCTCCTAGGGGCCAGCTTGGTTGGACCTGCATTGGACAGGGTAGAGGAGGTGCAAGGAACCTGCTTGTCCCTTGGGCCACCGTTGCCTTACAGGAGGCCATGGACTTGACCTGCCCAAAAGATTGTCCCCGCACCGCTGGTCTTGTTGCCTCTGACTTGACTGACGTTCTCTCCAGCTGATTCTCCTTTTCTTCTGTGCCTTCAAATGAGCTCATGGGGCTGAAGCTGCACCTCGCTGACTGCCTGCCCCAGGTACCAGGCTCTGCTGTCCCCAGCTATGCCATCTCCCAGGACCCACCTGTGATGAGTGGAGTTTTCCAGGCTATTCTGCCATCCTGCCAGAAAGCCAGAAGTCACACAGTGGGAACCATCCTGCTGCCCAAAGCCGGGGGCAGAAAGGACTAGGGGCTGTGGGGTGTAGCACAAAGGATGATGACACTGGTGGACCGTGGTCCTCTGATCCAGCATATGGTCTGGTACCTGGCTGCTCCCCAGGACATGAGCCTTCAGTAAGTGGACATGCTCTCCCTGGCGTCGCTACCTCCCCAGGCAAGCTTGGAGCCCTTTCCGCGTCTGTTCTTTTTTAATTTTTTATTTTTCCCATCTAGCCCCCAGCCTGGCAAAGAGCCATGAGCAGCAATGTCAGCCCCTGTTTCTAGTGCATGTGGAAGGTCCTGTGGACCAAGGGTTTTCCCTACCTAGAGCAATACTACCTCATCTTCCATCAGGAAACGCTTCCTATGGGGCCTCTGTTACTCCTTCCCCGGCCCCCCAGTCATCCCTCTGAGCGGGAGGCCCTTCTTCTCTGTGTCCCATGTCTACAGACACTCTCATGTCAGGTCAGCACACTTCCTGGCCTACGGTTGGCTGCCATTTGTTTACCTGTCTGTCATGCGCACCAGACTGTGAGTTCCCTGAAGGCCAATCATAATGCATTCTTTCCTAAATCTCCCCCTAGCTAATCCTAAATCCTCTCCTGGCACATTTATTGTGGTTATCCTGCAGCTTTTCAGACGCAGTAAATCCCACAGGAGGAGATTGCCCATCTTTCTCCCGCAGAGCAGCTGGTGGATCAGAACCGCGAACCTTTGTGTTTGCAGCACAATTCCTTGCCGCTAAGCCACTCAGAGCTCCCTCTCCTGAGGGAACCTGAGTAGCCTTTACTGCTGACCTGTTGAAGGAAGCCAGAGTCTCCTCTGCTCTACTGAGGGTTGCAGTCCCAACCTGCTCCAGGCCTCAGGCAGCCTGGCCGACTCAGACGCCTGCCCCTCCCAACACCAAGAGCAAGCTCGTGGTTAAGATTTTATTGAAGCTGCTTGGGGCTGTGTGAGCCTTGTGCCTCTTCTTCTGCCCCTGGCCTCATTACATTCCAGAGACCTGATCTCACAACTCAGCTGGGTGCTTTTGCCTGATTCCCCTGCGGGGCTAGAAGCTGCATTCCATAGGCTGCAGACTGTGTCTGACAAACCAGTTTTTCCTACAGATTTGAAAAGCCTCAGGTCAAGAGCCTTCTGTCCCTATCGTAGCTGTGCCACCCACTCTCTCTGATCTCCAGCACAGACTCCCCCTACTGCCACCATCCTCGAAATTCTCACTTGTCGTATACTAGAAGTAGGATCTTCTCTGGTGAAATCTTACACAGACACTTAAGTATAAAACCAAAGGTTGGTGTAGGGCTGAGAGCAAGAGGCCAGGACCCCTTATATTTGTGCTTTTGTATATTTTAAAAGATTCACACAACCTCAAGTAACTGTTGTCATTTGGTGTAGGGCCCACATTCTATATGCATTTTCATACATGTTGTTGTACCATAGAATTGGAACCCGCCTGTAGCTGGCCCAGCTTCTTACCTGTAGGCCACCAAGCTCCTTTTCATATACATAGGGAGCTCTGGTGGCCTAGTGGCAAGAAGCTGCACTGCAATCCTGAAGGCACAAAGTTCAAGGTCACCAGCTGAAAACCTGCCGGAGGAGGGTCAGTTATGGGTCAGTTCCGACTTGAAGGTACATAACAACAACATATGTATACATATCTCATATATAGATGTCAGGTGAGAGAGAGAGCGCGCGTGCATTAGTGCTGTGGTGGCCTAGTGGCAAGAAGCTGTGCTGCAATCCCAAAAGCACACAATTCGAATCCACTTTCTGCTCTGCCAGAGAAATATGGGAAACCTCCTTTTGTGCAATAAGTACTTCTGAAAACCCACTGGAGGGTCAACCATGGGTCGGTTCCAACGTGATGATGTACAACAACTGGATCTGTCTGTATGTTTGTATTTATATATATGCCACCACTGGTATGTCCTTTTGTCATACTGTGGTGGCTTATATATGTCACTGTGATGCTAGGAGCTCTGCCGCAAGGATTTCAAATTTGAGCAGGGGTAGGTTTCAGTGGAATTTCCAAACTAAGACAGGCCTAGCGATCTACTACTTAAAGCACTGTTACCAGTGCAAACCGTAAGGGGCAGAGCATCATGTTAGCTGATCAGTGACTTCACTGGGGACAGTGTACCCCTAGATAGTACTGTCTTGTAAGAGGTGACACCAAAGTGACAGGGTTTATTTGATGGCAAACAGGCCAGTGAGGTGGCTCCTGTCACCAGAAGTAGGTAGCTTGTCACCCCCTGGCACCACTGCTCCATCCCCGCCCACCAGCCCTCTGTCAGGATGCAGTCATCTGAGTCTTGGTGACCGCTGTTACATGGTGAGCAGGATCTCTGCTGTGGACAGTGGGAGAGGGGAGAGCTCTGGAGACCCACGAGCCCTTGGAGGGCAGGATGGCATGTTGCCATGTTGTGCCCGAGTGGGGCTGAACTGCTCCATCCTGTGTGTGTGTGTGTGAGTTCATTTGCTGCCCCACCATCTTTGGGAGTGAAGTGACACCATTAGTTACTAAGCTGGACAGACCCTCCTGACACCACTGTAGTTGGTAATAGTGTTGGAGACTGAGCGCCTAAGTTGAATATGGCGCTCGCAATACACAGTGGTCACAGCAGTGGACTTGAGCATATCATTGGTGTGAAGACGGGCGTGGGAAAGGGCACTTCTGCTGGGCGGGGGTTCCCCGGGAGTTGAAGCCAACCAGACAGACGCTAACTGCCACCTGACAGCTAACACTGTCACCACGCGTGCCACACGTAGACTTGGTTTACTTTGCATTCTGCTTTTTATACGGATGGGATCATATTGTAGGCATTTTTCTCTGGAGTTTGCTGTTTTCTATGGAAATAAGCTTTGACATTCTTTTCCCATCAGTCCAAATATATCACTCTCGTCCTGAAAAACAGCCTCATCAATTCTGTAATGCAGATGTAGCATAATTCGTGTGGCCATTCCGCTCGTGATCAGCGTTGTTGGCTGTTTCCCCATTTTCCACCATTACAAACAATGCTGGTGAGAAAAACCCGCTTTTGTGTACCTGGCCAGCATTTCCCGAACGGCACTGACTGGCCTGATTGAAAGGTGTGTACATGTTGTATTTTCAAGGCGTCTCTCGGGATGCAGGAGCTGTTTACATGCACACTAGGAGCCAGTAAGCGTCTTCCCAACACACACACACACACTGTAAGCAGCACTCAGTAACATCGGTTTTCTTAGTCTGCACAGTGAAAATGTGCAGACATGAGCCCTTGGCTCCGGGGATCCTGATAGTTTTCCTTCCTCGCTCCCTCTGTTTGCTTTGGGCACCAGGAAGGAGGCGAGCGTGCGGAGCCTGCTGAATGACAAGCGAGAGGTGGCCGCGCAGCGACGGCGCTACGAGCAGTACAGCGTGGTGGTGGAGGAGGTAGGCAGGCCCCCTGGACGGCCCGGCGTTAGGAGAGGGAGCCCCGGCCGGCCCCGGGGCCCCTCCAGCCGATCCTCCTGCATTCCAGGTGCTGCTGCAGCCCGGGGAGGAACAACTCTATCAAGGTTATGACTACGAGGACGAGTATGATGACACGTACGACGGCAACCAGGTGGGCGCCAACGACATGGACTCAGACGATGAGCTCATCAACCGCAGGTGAGGCCGGCCAGCGGTTGGCACCCCACACACAGGTGCCAGGGCCTCTCAGGCCTGTGGGACCCTCCTGTGGCCTCTTGCATGGCCTTACAGATGAGAAAACCAAGGTCCTCACTGTGTGAGCAAGTCAGTGGCAGAACCAGAACATCTGGCACCCCCACTTGCCTCCACTCCGCTTCCTTCTCTGCCTGTTGCCCCAGCCCAGCGCGAGTGAGGCTGCATTTTTCTCATCTCCTGTGGTAGTTTTTAACTGCGGGAAACTTTTCCCATTTTTCTCTCTTATGGAGGTTCGTAATCCAGATAGAAAGAAAGCTGCTCAGCTTGGAGGGAGGACTGAAGACCCTCCACAGTCCTAGCTCAGATAAAAATAAGACCCCTGTGTATGGCTCTGGTCTCCTCAAAGAATTCTGGGGCTGGAGTAGAGCTGGCAAGATGGGTGCAGATGCTGCAATGTCTTAATGTCTTGTCCCCCCACCTCCTGAGCTGTCCTCCCCTCCGCCTGACTCACCCTGCGCCCCCCAGTCTCTCTCCAGAGTTCACCCTGCTCTTGGAACTCACTAGTTCTCTCCTCTTTCAGGCCCTTCACTACCCCTCAAGTGCTGAGGACCAAAGTGCCAGGAGAGGGGCACGAAGAGGAGGAGGAGGAGGAAGAGGAGGCTGAAGAGGAGGCCCCCAAGGTACCTTCTTGGCCAGTGCAGATGAATGGGAAGCACTGACTGCCGGCCACCCCAGCATCACTGCTCCAGCAAAGAGAGCTCCTTCCCGGCCCAGGCTGGCTGGTTGTCTGCAGGGCTGCTAGCGGATTCACGGCAGGGCCTTTGAACAGCTGCGTTTGTTAGAAGTAGCAGCCTGGGGGCCGGCAGAAGGGCAGCTGTCAGCCGCTGTGCACTGAATGGCAATTCTGAAAATCAAAGAGGAGGTCGAGCCGCGGTGCCCTTGGAGGTGGCCCGGGTCAGTGGGTTTGAAAATTCCATTTATGAGAAGCTAAGCTTTTTCTTCAAATGAAATCCCAGTCAGAACCTTAAGTGTACAAAACAGGAAAAGCCAGCACTACCGTACTTGGAGGGAGCTCTGGTGGCCTAGTGACAAGAAGCTGCGCTGTGATCCAGAGGCAAGTGGTTTAGATTCACCAGCTGTTCCACAGAAGGATGGGCAGTCTCCTCCTGGGCGATTAACTGCCTCTGAAAACCATCGGAGAGTCAACCATGGATCATTTCTGACTTGATTGTACACAACAGCCCTACTTGGGGGCGCTCTGGTGACTTAGTGGTAAGGAGTTACGCTGCCATCCCAAAGGCACATGGTTCATATCCACCAGATGCATCTCGGGAGAAAGATGGGTGATATCTTTCAAATGTTCAGCTTCTGAAAACGCAGTGGAGGGTCAGCTGTGAGTCAGCTTCAACTCCTCAGTACATAATAGCTACAACCTGCTTGACTAGAATGGCCACCTGGAGCCCCACTGCTTGTGCCCTCCTGGACCCTCTTCAGCATAGTGACAAATCCAGTGTTTTCAGGGCCAGGCCACTGCATGAATGAACCCAGGACATGGTGGAAGGGAGGTGGGTGGACCTGCCTGAGGGGCTCCTTCTCCACAATGCAATTTCCAGGGGCTTCCCTTCTTTTTGGGAAGGAAAACAGTCTAGATTTTTAGGTAAAATCTTTCCATTTCCAAATGTTCATTTCACTTTGCCTTTGCAATGCTGTGAGCTACCACAGCTTGGGTGTGGCCCCTTAGGCCACAATTGGTCCCCTGCACTGATCCGGTCATAAATATATGATCTTTAAGAGTGGATCAGTCTGTTCCTCGGTAGGGAGGCCAGGGCGATGCCTCCCGGGCCTGGGGAGGAGCTGGCTTTCAGGCATGTTCCTCCTGACATTGGAAACCTGACGTTGGCTCCTTGGTTCTCCCAGTGTCTGACCTGTTCATCCCTCCACTCCCCTCCGACACCTCTCATTTGTTATTGTCCTCCTCCACAAGCAGCACACCTGCCCCATCACACCCACACCCCAGTAAGTGAGCTCATAATTCCAGCCTTTGTCCCCTCTCCCTAGCCTGACCACTTCGTGCAGGACCCCGCGGTGCTTCGGGAGAAGGCAGAAGCCAGGCGCATGGCCTTTCTTGCCAGGAGAGGGTGAGCATTCAAGGGGCCAGTCTGGTGGGAGGGAACCCAGCTGGGGAAGACACAGCTGACCCCCGGAACACCCCCTCCCCCGAGGTGCTTTGCATGTATTCATTTACATCCTTCAACCACCCTGTGATGCGGCAACTTATATTATCCTCATATTTCAGATGAGGGAACGAAAACTCTGAGATGTTAAGTAACCTGCCAGAAATCACACAGCTAATAGGTGGTAGAGTGAAATTTGACCCAGGTGACCCAACTCTGAGGTCCACAGTTGTTAGCATGCCTTGACAGACACTGAGGCGTGGGTTACCCAAGTGTGGAGCCCGACGTGCCCATGGCTAACTGGCGTGAGGTGTGAGAAAGCCAGGCAGGCAGACACATAGCCTCTCTGGCTGAGATGCATGGTCGGGGCAGGAGTTTGTGGAGGGGCAGGGGGTAAATAGCTCAAGTTGGGCAGAAAGCTCAGAAAAAGGGCAGGCCTGGCCAGGGCAAGGAGTCAGCACATATGAACGGCCAGGGCCAGCCGGGAGTGGGCAACCAGAGACCCTTCTGGCCAGCCTTCCTCTCATCTTCCCGTGAGGAAATGCTCCAGAGGAGCCGATGACCTGCCTGAGGCCATTCTTCCACTTACAGCTGAAACAGGCTGTCCCCTGGCCCCAGAACCCCCACAACACTACTGAGTGAAGAGGTCTTCGCCAAGGAGGGAAGCATAGGGATCTTAGTCAAGTCTTGAGCGGAGAGCCTGGCAAAGCGCTGAGCATGGGAGCAGGGGCACAGCCCGACAGTTGAGATGGCCTGAAAGGGTCCTGGGTCTCATCTGCTGAAGGCCACCCAATGAGCCCCTAGAGAAACATAGTTCAAGAATGATCCTCCCATCTGATAGTAGGTGAGCCTGGGAGGGAACAGAAGGCGATCCTTCCAGGCCCTCTTCCTCTCCTCGTATGGGGTCTGGTCAGCTTGTTAGCTCTTCCCAGTGATGGACTGATAAGGAGGCAGGGCCCAGAGAAGACACCTAACACGGGCTTGCTGGGGCCCTCACAGCCCTGACCCTGCTGAGCCCTGTTTCTCTTCCCACGATGAAGTGGGGACACTGGTGTCCTGGCTCCAGCCGAGGCCCGAGGAGAGCCTCCCATCCAAGCCTCGCTCCTCTGATGGGTTTTCCTGGGATTGGCTGTTTCCCGCTCAGGTACCGGCATGACAACTCAACGGCAGTGGCCGGCAACCCGCGGGGCCATGGGCAGAACCGAGAGACCACCCAGGAACGCAGGAAGAAGGAAGCCAATAAGGCGACCAGGGCCAACCACAACCGGAGGAACATGGCCGACCGCAAGAGAAATAAAGGCATGATTCCATCCTGAGGCCGTCAGGCCAGGACCACCACGGCAGCGCTGGCTCCACACCCAGCAGATTTTGGTACCGCTGCCCGAGTCTCCCTGCAGCCTCAGCTTTGCAGCCCCTGAGGAGGCCACCTCACTGTCCACCAGCCAGCCAGCCTGCTAAACACACAGTGCCTTACCCACAGCAAAGGACCCTGGGCCAGCAAGCAGGCACCTTCCCCAGACGCGCTGGTGGGAAAGGGTCGGGGATGAAGCCCAAAGACAAGCCCCTCAGGCTTCATGCACAAAGACACCACTTCCCTCTTTGGATGGTAAGAAACTTGTCTATTAAAAAAGCAAATCTGAACGGGAAAGAGTCTGCGAGTAAAGTTTATGAACCTTTCAAACAGCGGCCCATGGTGCATCCATGACCATTCTTCGGTGGCAGCCCTCTCAGGAGACACCCATGGTATGCGTTTTCAATGCTCTTCGTACTTGCTCTCATTTTAACACCTGAAGAGGCTCACCCCTTCCTGACCCTCTTCACACCTCTTGAAATGAAGGGCTGAGTTGTCTTGGTCAGTCCCATGCCCTCCACCTAGGAGGCAGGCACTGTACTTGACACCATGGCACAGATGAGGGAAGTGAGGCACTGGAGCAGAAGGTGACTAGCTTAGTTCAGCTGTCCAGAAATACTGAGTGGCTTGGTGCTGCCAATGCAAAGGTAAGTGGTTCGAATCCACCAGCTGCTACATGGAAGAAAGATGGGCAGTCTCCTCTTGTGTGATTTACTGCCTCTGAAAATATGCTGGAGAGGCAGCCATGGGTCTGTTCCAACTCAACAATACACAACAACAGTTAAGAAGGCTGGAAGTCTGAACTTAGGATATAGTCTCCATTGTTGTGTACCTTCGAGTCAGAATCCACTCATAGCTAACTCTTCAGCAGGCTTTCAGAGACAGTAAATTGCACAGGAGGAGACTGCCCATCTTTTCCCCTCTGATTAACTGGTGAATTTGAACAGTGTGCCTTTGGGTTGGCAGTGCAACTCCTTACGCACTAAGCCACCAGAGATCTCTGGACTGGCTCTAGAGTTGAGCTTTGTCTGTCTGCTCTGAAAGGTTCTAGTCCCTTTAACTTCTGCTTCCTGGCTCAGTGGAGCTCTTCATGCGTCTTGGCATTTATCTCACCTCATTTCTGCTCACTCCCTCGCTAGTTTAATCTCATCTCAGTGGGAATTCTTTTGGTAGAGTCCATAGGGAGTTGCGCTTCTAACCTGAAGTCTACAATTCCATGGTGATTTGAGGAAGAAAGATGAGCAATCCTCCTGTGTAATTTACAGCCTCTGAAACCCAGCGGGAGGGCAAGCTGTGAGTTCTGACTCAAGGACAATGAATTTGAGCTTTTTTTTAAATTAATTTTATTATTTTGTGTGTGTATACCATCAAATCGGATCTGACTGATACAAGAGAAGATTGCCCCCCTTCTCCAGCAGAGCATCTGGTGGATTCGAGCCATGTACCTCTGGGATTACAGTGCAGCTTCTTGCCACTAGACCACCAGACCTCCCTGAGTTTAAGCTTTTATATCTCCAGAGATTGACTCAAAAACACACCTACACTAATCCTCCCTCATTAACATACAAAGACAGCCCATTCCCAAATGGCACCATAACTACAAGTATACATATTAAAATTTATGATGTATATTGGGGGGCAGTTTGCACTCTTCCTGGATGATACCCTTCATATCCTCCCACAACTCATCTAGCCTTCACTCATTAGTGTTCAAGGCCTCAAACCTGTTCCTGAGATGGTTCTGAAATTCAGGTGGGATAGACTCAAAGTCATATTTTGGTTCCCATGGACTTGGTTTAATTTTCCTCAACTTCAGCTTGAACGTACATATGAGTAGTAGGTGGTCTGTTCCACAGTCAGCTCCTGGCCTAGTTTTCACAGCTGATATTGAGCTTCTCCAAGGGTTTTTTCCGCATATGTTATCAATCTGATTCCTATGCATACCATCAGGTGAAATCCATGTATATAACTTGCGTTTATGTCTCTTAAAAAAAACGTATTTGCAATGAATAAGTCATTGTGCAATATTCGATCATTCTCTCTCCAGCTCCATTTCTGTCACCAAGTCCATGTTTTCCAACTACTGAATCTTCTCTCTTCCCAACTTTTGCATTCCAGTCACCCATTATTATCAATGCATCTTGATTGCATGTACAGATTCATCCTGGAAAGGGTCAAACCGGGCGGCTCCTTGGAGGCAAGGATTCTGAGGCTCCGTCTAACATACTTTGGACATGTTGTAAGGAGGGACCAGTCCTTGGAGAGGGACATCATGCTTGGTAGGGTGGAGAGACAGTGCAGGAGGGGAAGGCCCTCAGTGAGGTGGATTGATTCAGTGACTGGGGTGATAGGGATGGGTGTATGAAACAGTGTGATTGGCACAGGACAGAGCAGAGTTTAGGGCTGTTGTACGTAGGGTCGCTATGAGTCGCAAGCGACTCAACGGCACATAACAACAACAACAACATTGGGAGGCAGATAGAATTCAATCCACAGCATTGGCCGACCCAGGCCATAACTGGGTAGTGACAGATCAAGGATTAGACACTTAATCTGATTCAAACCACACTGGGGTTCTTGACCCTAGTAAGTGATGTCATTTCTTCACAGCCGGCCCAAGGACACTTGACTAGCAGCAGAATCAGTGTTGGAAAGAACTCAGGCCTCCTGCCTTCTGAGTACATTCAGATTAATTCCCTCAAAACCAGAGTCTAGGACCTCAAAAAACAAGTTGGGGTATCAATGCCAAGCCTGTTTGAAGGACCTGGCTCTACAAAGCCCCCTCAAATCTGGCATGGCACCAGCTGCTAGTTACTCTAAATCTGCTTCCTTCTAGAACATGGCTAATCAATGAGGGATCAGCAGGGTGGCGTTGGCTGCGCTGATCCCAGCTAGCCTGGCCTGGAGCCCATTCGCGAAGCCGGGGCCTGAGCCCAGCTGGACCTGACAAATCACCCTCGATGCTAGCGCCATTTATTTGCCCGTAGTTAGGATGAGCATCTGAGGCAGAGAGGCAGACAGGCACTTGAGGGATTGGCTTTGTTAAGTCAGCTTGCACAAGTGAAAATCAATAGCAATCCCTCTTGTGTCGCACCAGCTCTCTCGGTGCATTTGAGATGCAGAGCAGGTCCCGAGGTGGGGGGTGCGGGTGGCATCTCCCTTTGAGCTGCTAAAGTGGCTGAGACCAGGCTCCGCATTAGCCATCCTGACAGGCAGCACCAGGACTGTTCCTTCTGCGGAGGTATTTGCCTGGGACCAAACTCCTTGGTAAAGGTCACTTCATTTTCTCTCTGAACTCGCCAGACTCAGTCCCTGTCCCTGTTAGTGTTCTTAAAACTCCTCAGCTTCCCCTGATCATCTGCACCTCTCAACTACCAGAAGTGGTTTTCAGGCTTCACAAAGTTCAAAGCATTTGAGAAGACAGGCTCTTTTAAAATTTTCAGAGTGGAGTGTCACACCCAACTTACTCTTTCAGTGATACTATGAAAATCAGCTCAGAGGTCACTTAAAAGGTGCTTTTAAGTATACTCTTTCCCCTCCTAGGGCCTCAGTTGTCCCATCTAAAAAGTAAAATGAAGAATTTATATTTAGTGACAATACAATTCTCTGACTAGAGTCCAAGATCTACAGCAGATGAATGGAGAACTGTTACAGGTGAGGATCCCTGAACCCTGCCTGCCTGAACCTACCCTCTCCACTCTGTTCCTGTTTATTGTTGTGGACCGTCAAGTCAGAACTGACCCATTGCTGACCCTCCAGCTGTTTTTCAGAGGTAATAAATCACATGGGAGAAAGTTCATCTTCCCTCCTGCAGAACAATTGGTGGTTTTGAACCACAGACCTTAGGGTTCACAACACAGTTCATCTCCACTAAGCCACCAGAGCTCCCAGTGCTGGCTGCTCCTATGCAGGTGTTTTTCACTGGTATTCCCTAAGAATCTTTTCAGGCTTCGTCCTTGAGAGGACTTGGATCTGAGTGGGTTTTGTTTCTAATTCACAAACAGCAATGATGGTGTGTGTGTATGCAGTGTTCCTGTGCGTCTGTGAAGTGTGTGAGGCAGAGCCTGTCACTGTTTATGAAAAGGAGTCCAGGAGCCCTGGCTTGGCACTAACTTGTCTAAAGCTTGTTGCAAGTTACTAACAGAGTCATGATTGTCAAGATCCTTCTTGTTCCTGCCCCATTAGGAGCTTGGGATGAATAATTTGGAGTGAGGTGGGTGGACGGACCAAGCAAACAAATAAAAATAAACACCCCCAAAATGCAGGGAGGTGTTATGTAACACTTTATAATGACATCAGTAAAGGCTTGGTAGCAGCGTGGGAAATTAAATATTGAAGACTAAATTCAAAGGCAGAATACACAATGGTGATGCATTGTGATTGTGAAAATACACACAGATCGAGTCCGGAAGAGAGCGTGCATAAGTGAAAACAGGATGGTGGGAATGTAGATGATGATAATGGTGACAAAACAATGACGAGAATAAAAGCTCTTACTGTAGCCTAACTTTGCTGGGCACTTTGTTTTCATTCTCTCAAGTGGACAAATGAGACATGGTCTCAAACCCTGCCTCATCTATACCGAAGTGCAGAGAGATTAGATGACCTGCCTGAGGGCAGTTAGCAAAGACCAAAGGGAGATTCTGTCCGTCACTGTCCCCTAGAGCTCATTCTCTTAACGTCTGAGATTCATACCTGCCATTGTGCTCTGCCTTCCACTCCAGCCCTTGTGCTTTCTAGAATACCCTTGTTACTAGTTTTTACAACAAAACATTTAAAAACACAAGGAAAATAGCTACAGAAGAAGAGGAGGAGTTAAGGATTAAATAGTGCCATCAAGAAATGTGTCAGGGGAAGGGTTGGGAGGGGAGAAAAGTGCAACAATGAATGACTGGAAATCCAAAGGCTCTGTAAATTTTCATTGAAATTAATAATAAATTTTTTTAAAAAGCAAGAAGCTGCACT